ATTTCACAATGAGATGGAAATATAACTATAACTACATCTAGTGGTACCCCTGTTTGGTAAACCTTTGTTTACTTATGATAGTGAACTAACTAGGCTGACCAAAACTTCGTTTCACATAGTCAGTACTGTAACGTCTTAAGTCTTTCCTGTAACAGTTATAATGTAGGTCATAGGTAACATTCTTCATATTAATCATTTAAAAATATAAATATCACAAACATGTGCATTGTTATTCAAAGTAACACATTTTCTATTACAGTAAAAATGCGGAAACTGCTTTGTGATCTAAAATGTCATTGTATGGTAATTTGTTCTGTCATGTAACAAACTTTTGTCCTTACTGTAACAGATTTTAGAGTTTATCCTTCAAAAAGTTGGAATACATTTATCAATATCACTGAAAAAGATAATGACTGGTATTACTTTTGCAAGCATTATTATATACATGAGAAACATTTAAGATAATCTTTACCACTCTTTTCATACTGATGATATAACAAATATAGTCAATCCTGTAACACGCATGTCTTTCCTATAACGCACTCATTTAAAAAATATATATATCTGAATATGTCTTTAGTTTCTGAAATGAGACATAAATTGATCACAGTTTATCTTTGTTTATCAAATAAAAAACCTCCAAAAAATCTTGAAAATTTAGAAATCATAATATTTATGTTGAAGGGGCAACAGTATTTCATAGAATTGGCACTGAGTACATATTGGTCATTAAGAGACTAATTAAATGCCCTTCATCCTCACTTCAAGTTTAATATACAAAAATATGAAGAAATAAATATGTTTCGTATGTGGTTTTTGCATTTTCATGAATTTCAAACCAAAATAATTCACACAAACATTGTTATGGGAAAGACAAGCCAAGTTTCAGTTGCCATGGTAACTGGTTATTCCTCTTTCTTAAAAGCATTATTAAGACTTCCATTTGATGTTACTGACAGCTTCAGAGATTTGTTACTCCATTTAAACCAAAAAAAGATATTATATCAACCATTGGATTTTGTAATTTTGGAAACTCAAAAAGTGACATCTTTTGAAAATGACTCACATATTAACGTCTTTTTGCTTAGCTCTTAGCAACACACAAGCTGCCAATGTGTATCACAAGTTTGGGTGAAGGTCGCTTCAATATATATATAAGATTGCACAAGTGTGATATTTCATTTCTTGTTATCATCATCTTTTGCAAATTAACACGATTTGTCATACAAATATGTGAAAAATCATGTATAAAATAGATATTGAATCGCTGAAAAGTGAAGCGAAAATGTCAAAAACTAAAATGAAAATGTCAAAAACAAAAACGACATTTTTGCTTTTGTTTTTGACATTTTCGTTTTTGTTTTTGACATTTTCATTTTAGTTTCAGCGATTCTTTAACTACTTGAAAGTACATTTTCCATGTTTTCGGTTGTTTTTATACATGATTTATCACATATTTGTATGACAAATTGTGTTAATTTGCAAAAGGTTACCATAAAAGTAAGTGAAATGAGCGTTGGTCAGTTGTGGGAGTGTCTGCGGCGTGTTCTGACGATGATGTACACGTCGATCGAGTTCACCCAAGAGGTGTTCAATTGGGTTGAGATCTCGACGGCCAGGGCAAGACGTTGATGTTGGTATTATGAAGGTAGTCTATCGTGACACGAGCTGTGTGCGGTGGAGCGTTGTCCTGTTGAAACAGCTCCCTCTGGCGGTCAATGATTGGAAGAAGGTGAGGTTGAAGAATTTGATTCATGTAGCGATTTGCTGTCAAATTTCCCTGAACCACAACCAAGTCCAATTCACGTACACAATGTGGGGGAAAACGCTCATTCCAACGATGATAAACACGTTGTCTTCCATCTCGCTGGTGAAGAAGAAATCGTGATTCATCGGTAAACCACACTCGTCTCCAGTTTCTCAAATTCCAAGACTGTAAGGTATGGCACCAACGCAAGCGTCGTTGTCGATGGATCTGTTGCAAAACAGGGAAGATAACGGGTCTTCCGGGTAGGATTCCAGCCTCGCGAAGATGGTTCCTGACAGTCTGGTCTGATATCCTCCTGAAACAAGGGATTCGTCCTGCAGTCTCCGTAGCTATGAAATTGCGATCACGTAGGTGGAACAGTAGCGATCCTGTGCAGGGGTGTTAACTCTTGGTCGGCCGGTTCTCGGACGGTCTGCAGTTGAATTGAACTGTGTATCGGTCCCAAAGGCGGCAAATGGTGCTGTGGTGGACGTGCAACAGAAGACTGCGATCCCCCTCTTTAGAAACGTCCTATAGCGCTGAGTCTCGGCATTTTCGAATTTGACAAAATGTTGACAATTGAATGACAAATTATTGGCTTATTCTAGCATTTTTATAGCCACTACAACGAATTACGAATGCCACAAGTTGCACGTGCAGTTTGCTTAAACAAGTTTGAAAACAATGCCGTTTAAGACATCGCATATCGACAATGGCTGCGTTTTGACGCACCGTTTATCGAATATCAGGCCACCAACATTTTCCAATAAGATATATCCAATTTAAATACCGGATGTTTTGTGTAGTCAGGTTCAGTGAACTACATACCACCTGTGCGTTTCTTTTTTTTGAAGAGTGTATACTGTACTGATTTTTAATGTTGAAAGCCAGTGTGCTTGCGTTGAATCAGTTTTTTCAAGTGATATGATTAGACTATGATCTACTGAACAATTTCAGTGTCAATTAAATAATTAAGGGGCATCAAAACACCGAAGGCAAATACTAAAGGAATAATAATCAATTTAGTTGTTGTCCAGTCAACTTCTAAATGAGTAACAAAGACTTATCACAACATATACCTTCACATTTCTTAAAAAAATCTTCCAATGCGACCAAAGTGTCATTTTCCTCCTCTCTGTCCTGTGTTCCGACGGGTGAAAGCAAAGCTTGGAACAAGGTGAGGTGAGGTGAAGTTGGGTTTAACATCGTGTCCCAGATTATTGCACTTATATAGCGACGTGCATGCACATGTGTGTGTGTGGCTGCTTGTACTAGTCCGGACTAGAATGCACTGAGCTGGGCGAACGGTGTTTTCTTTTGGTTTCAAGGAGTCAAAACGTTGTGTACAAATTAATTCACGCATGCTTCTTCACGCGAAAATTTTCGGTAGGTAACTCTCTTCTTATTCAACTTTGATTGGAAAACAACCTGTTTTGTGTTGAAAGTCGCGAAAAAACTGACGAATATATGTGCCTTACACAATTTACATACTTTATTTACACACCTAAGATGCTTTTTATGTGAACGCATAGTAAATGTACATATACACACGTATGTATAGTTACACATGCGAAAATTTACTCACATGTTGTGCATGTGAACGGGGTATAAGTGTATGATGGAATTACCAACAACAACACCCCCCCCCCCCCCCCCACACACACACACACACACACACACACACACCTCTCTCAAGGTTCAATCCCCGGCTAGCACAATAACACCTGCTGAAGTTTGGACACAGAGATACACAGACAGACACAGACACAGACACACACTGTATCCCAACTGTGTAGAGCGATGCTCATGATGTCAGTCATTGGATTGTTTGGTTCAGACTTGATTATTTACATACCGCGGTTATGTGACTAGAATACTGCGGAGTGCGGCGTTAAACAACAAACAATTTTTTTTAGCAAGACTATGCAATAGAGAACGTACATGTTGTTTAATAAGGTTAATGAAGCCAAAAACAAACTCTGGAACTTTCAAACTGTGTTGACAAAGGGACTTTAAAAAATATCTTAGGCGTGTATAGAGGATGGATGTTTGTCGCCTGCCATTATGCCAACCTATCAACGAATAATTTGGTACACTACATTTACCAATATCGATGTTTACAATGCATTATCTCGACTTGTGACGTCAATGAGATAATTTCTACAGACATTTTGATAGCCTTTTTATCGAATCCTTATCTACCTGAGAGTGCCAAAGGTTAATCACGTTTCGAATAAAGTGCATTTCAGCCGCATTGTTATGTCATCGATTTCAGTGTATACAGGTATTGTAGTGAACACAAAACCCATGATGTATCAACGATGGTTTCAGTAGAAGGGTATGAGATTTGAAACGCAGGGGTATTTTTGAAAAATCATATTCAGATCATATGTGGTCTTGAAGAATACACATACAAATATGACACTTGAGTGGGAGGTTTTGAACATAATTTTAGTTAAATCACTGCACAGATGTCAGCTTTACGTGGGAGGGAAGCCCAAAGTGTACAGGTCTTAGAGTGTTACTTTACTATGGTGCTGACAAACCTAGAAATATTAATCAGGGCCAATATGGGATTCGACCCATGATCATTGGTTCCTGGGAAGCCTAAGGGATGCATCTCTGCACAGGACATTGTGACTTCTTAGACAATATCATTATCAGAAATATTGGAAGTCTGATGTACCACATCAGTGGTGTGTTGAAAGCAAAAAAAAGAAACCTTATCTTTTAGTATATTTTAATTCATATAGTGACTTGTTCATCGAGTCACATGGTATCAGATCTAATACTCTTATTCTTGGAAACAAACAGAATGTAACAACAAAGGACCTGTCTATCAATAACAAGCTGACCATGCACATCATCTTCCCAAGGCAAGAGAGTTAACTGACCTTGCCCTAATAGGCTGGTATTATGGAGTTACATTTTGGCTGGACTAACGAGTCTGTGCATAGTCCAATCAAAATCGCGCAACGAAACCGAAATCCGGTTCGTAAACTGTCGTGCAGATTTCGGTCGATTGCATGATTTGCAAAGAATGTGCACCGCCAACTCGTTGTCAACAGATATTTTCCTAATCTTTTCTTGTTTTTAATCAAGGTGCTCACATGATTTGATGCACTTCGCGATGTAAGACCCGTTTTATCACAATATAGATACTGATTTTAGATCAGATCGTCCTGACTGGGTGCGGCCATTTTGCAAGTGATACGAGAGGTAGAATCTGATTGGTCCATAGGAGAGGCATAGAAGGGACATAATTCGTAATATCCACTGGTGGCGCTACGATTGGGCCCAGGAATTCCAGCCTAGTTCGGCAAGGGTGGAAACTGGACTTTTGTAGTCAGTTAACTCCCTTGCCTCGGGAAGATGATGCACATCAATGAAAGCACCCCGATGTGTGCACATAGTGACGGCCACTTCAATCTCTTCTAAACCTCCAGTGACGTCATCCTGATATCACAGGGATATTTGCTATATATCGACGTCAACAAATCACATTGGCACCTTGATTAAAAACATGAAAAGATTTTGAAATTATCTGTTGACGCTAAGTTGACCGTACACATGCTTTGCAAATCCTGCAATCAACAGAAATCTGCACGGCAGTTTACCAACCAGATGTTGATTTTACTATGCAATTTTGATTGGAGTATGCATAGACTCGTTAGTCCAGCCAATATATAAGTCCTTAATTCAAGCCTAGGTCGTCAAGGGTGAAAACTGGACTTTTATAGTCAGTTAACGCCCTTGCCTAAGGAAGATGCAGCTCCGGATGCATGCCATATGCCCAGACATCATACTGTGTTCCATATACATGCCAGGCATCACAGCTCAGATAATGTAGCATACACTCCAAGGTGGGGTTTCGGTGATGCTAGGACAAGTTTTTTGGGGAAAATTTGCCTCTAGACAATCTGTCCACATTTCTTTCATTATGGTTTTGACTTTCGCTGTTCGTTTGGTATTCTGCCCCATGAAAATCAGTTAAACAAATATGAAATGGGTCTGGACTTACTGTTACTACGCAGAGGTTTGGCACAGATGCAGGAATACTTCTGTATATTATGCATAGCAAAAATATATATGGATACTGGGTTACACAAAGAACAGACAAAATACAATGTATCTGACAAGTTACAACAGACAAAATACAATGTATCTGACAAGTTACAGCAGACAAAATACAATGTATCTGACAAGTTACAACAGACAAAATACAATGTATCTCACAAGTTACAACAGACAAAATACAATGTATCTCACAAGTTACAACAGACAAAATACAGCGAGTTTCATGTAACAACAGACAAAATACAGTGAATTTCACATGTAACAACACACAAAATACAGTGAATTTTACATGTAACAACAGACAAAATACAGTGAATTTTACATGTAACAGACAAAATACAGTGAATTTCACATGTAACAACAGACATAAATACAGTGAATTTTACTTGTAACAACAGACAAAATACAGTGAATTTTACATGTAACAACAGACAAAATACAGTGAATTTCACATGTAACAACAGACAAAATACAGTGAATTTCACATGTAACAACAGACAAAATACAGTGAATTTCACATGTAACAACAGACAAAATACAGTGAATTTCACATGTAACAACAGACAAAAATACAGTGAATTTTACTTGTAACAACAGACAAAATACAGTGAATTTTACATGTAACAACAGACAAAATCCAGTGAATTTTACATGTAACAACAGACAAAATCCAGTGAATTTTACATGTAACAGACAAAATACAGTGAATTTCACATGTAACAACAGACATAAATACAGTGAATTTTACTTGTAACAACAGACAAAATACAGTGAATTTTACATGTAACAACAGACAAAATACAGTGAATTTCACATGTAACAACAGACAAAATACAGTGAATTTCACATGTAACAACAGACAAAATACAGTGAATTTCACATGTAACAACAGACAAAATACAGTGAATTTCACATGTAACAAAAGAGAAAATACAGTGAATTTCACATGTAACAACAGACAAAATACAGTGAATTTTACTTGTAACAACAGACAAAACACAGTGAATTTTACATGTAATAACAGACAAAATCAAGTGAATTTTACATGTAACAACAGACAAAATACAGTGAATTTTACATGTAACAACAGACAAAATACAGTGAATTTTACATGTAACAACAGACAAAATCCAGTGATTGTTCTGACGTGACCCTAATGGGATGTCTTCAGATCTTTGTTTGGCGGTAGCGAGAACTAAGGTCGGATTTTAATGAGATTGGCCAATACCTTAGCCTTCAGGACAAAATGTAACTAGGAGCACATCTGTGACCCAAGGTGAGGTTTTTACCAGATGTCTGTTGTTTGTCCCTACATGTCCTGAGAACGTCCTCTGGAGTCCAAGGCTTATTCTTGTTCAAAAAGGAGAAACACACTTCCTGAAAACCTCTGGCTTTCTGACAATTTTAGCCTTACCTATGCATTTAGCGTTCTCTTAATCCCAATGAAAACATGCAGTTGTCGAAATTTTACACAATGGCATACTGGAAGTGAAGTCTGTCGTCTGCTCCTTCCTTGTAGCAGACGACAAACATGGGGCCATATCATCAAGACCTGATGCATCAACAACAAACAGCACACAAACACAATTAGGCCATCTTGACAATGTGGACAAACTCCTGGCACATAGGAAAACCGTGAAAAACCTCTACAGCAAATTTGTCTGTTTTCATATGACATGACAACCAAAGGCCAATAAACTTGTTTATCAAACACATACAATATCATTCAGAATTGTTAAATATTGATGTCCTGTTTACATGTTTGCTTGAGTTTTAATTAAAAAATAAATTAAAAAAATGTATAGAATACCCTGTATGAATCTTAGTACAAATTTGTCCTTGAAGCTAAGCTCTAACTTATCCTTTATGAATTCATGGAATGGCATCTCAAAATATAATTATCATAAGTATTTAGAATTTTAGATTTTGTAAGTTGTCCACAAAAGTAGAAAGCTATAAAGATCATCTGGTAGGCATGTCTGTGTTGTGTGTATCTCCCCTGACGTGAACTTGGGTCTGGGTGTGGAAGGGTTGTAGTCCTGTAGTAGATGCAGTGTTGTAGTCCTGTAGTAGATGTAGCGTTGTAGTCCTGTAGTAGATGTAGTGTTGTATCCTGGTGTCACTCTCCTTGTATGAACTTGGGTCTGGGTGTGGAAGGGTTGTAGTCCTGTAGTAGATGTAGCGTTGTAGTCCTGTAGTAGATGTAGTGTTGTATCCTGGTGTCACTCTCCTTGTATGAACTTGGGTCTGGGTGTGGAAGGGTTGTAGTCCTGTAGTAGATGTAGCGTTGTAGTCCTGTAGTAGATGTAGTGTTGTATCCTGGTGTCACTCCCCTCGTATGAACTTGGGTCTGGGTGTGGAAGGGTTGTAGTCCTGTAGTAGATGCAGTGTTGTAGTCCTGTAGTAGATGTAGTGTTGTATCCTGGAGTCACTCTCCTCGTATGAACTTGGGTCTGGGTGTGGAAGGGTTGTAGTCCCGTAGTAGATGTAGTGTTGTAGTCCTGTAGTAGATGTAGCGTTGTAGTCCTGTAGTAGACGTAGTGTTGTATCCTGGTGTCACTCCCCTCGTATGAACTTGGGTCTGGGTGTGGAAGGGTTGTAGTCCTGTAGTAGATGCAGCATGACGGCCTGGAATCACATAAAAATTTATTTGAACACTTTAAACATCTGAAACTAAACATGAAAGTCACAGAGGTCCAAGGACTTGATACATCTAATACCAAACAAAATGCCTGCACATCATGTTATTTTTCAGTCAGTGTGTGAAAGTTATTTAAAGGTGCAGTCAGCATTATTCCTGGCGTATGAAGGTGGCCCGTAAATAATCAGTTCTGGGTCATCTTATACACAGGGTTGAGTATTGTAAATTTTTTTCCACAACACAAAGACATAACTGTGGGCACGGAACACCGGAAATACCATGTCAACATATCTGTACTGAAATACTCAAATTAATCATGTAATTACACTATCTGGTTGTAAAAAAGAGTTCATAATATATCCGGACTTATGTTGGTAATCTATTTTATTAATTTTATCAAACATTTCATTCAATATTGTTTCAATTCATTCTGGCAAAATTGTATGTGAAGTGATTGGAAGATCGCACAACTCACCGTTATTTATGGCAAACACGGTCATATTACCGCTATTGACGCCTTGAAACGAACTTTAGTGGATACAGAATGGATATATATCATAAATGCCATACATTGAATCGCTGAGAGTCATATTTGTTGTAGTTTGACTATTATATGTCAACATAAAGGTTTCGCAAGCGGGAGCATGGATGGTGAATGGTCAAATTCTTCCATTCGAAAACATTTCTGGCAATGGCGATCAGCTGAACTAAAGTGCTACGCTTATTAATTTATTTCACATATATATAGTAAAGCTGCAACTAACATGACATTGGAATAAATTATTCCTGATAAAATTATAGTTTCAGATACAATTCTTCCGCTAATCGTATCAAAATTCTTCAAAGTTATATTATTGGGTAATTTTTGACCGAATCACCGGTAGATTCTGAGAAACGTGTGTACAGCTGATTGCTACTTCCAGCTTAGTTTACGAGACAAGACGCACAGTAATCTTAATCACTGCATATAAAACAATGCCAATCAGAACAGGAAATACAATTTAATCGGCTAATCATTATGTTTAGTGATGTTTTATCTCAAATTTCAAATTTGTATTGGCCACATTTAATTGTTATAATCTGTAGCTGAAGGGCTACGATGTAAATTTTTTTCTGCGGAAGACAAACAAATATTTATTTCAAATGTAGGGATTTCGTATGCACTAGTGATGTGCTTCATTCAGATTCGCTTTATAGCCGGGGTATATAAATTAGCATCGATTTCCTGCTTATTTTACGAGACAAATAACCTCTGCGTATGAAACATTGTCCCTCATACAGTACACAATTACCATTGAATTTATATTTGAATACCATCATCATGTCTAGTGACATATCGCAAATTTAATGTTTTCATTGACCAAGTTTGCAAACGGCAAAGCAAGCACACAAACTCGCACAAGCGCACATGGCCGCCATGACCATAACACACGAAATGCGCAGTAAAGCAATGTGCATGAAAAGGGAAGTAACTGCACGTTGTGGTTGTGTGTTCGAGACGCGGAACATTTAAGTATTTTTTTTGGTTTTGAAAATGGAAATAAAAAAAGAAACATGCGGCAGACTTCACGATGATGCGGCGGTGCCTGAGAACCAAGAATATTTTTGTTTTTTAGCCTTAACTTCTTTTGAGGAATATAGTTGAAAGAATGCTTCCTTGGTCTAACACATGCTACAATAGCTACACTCAATTGTCAAAAGATCAACAATATTTTATCAATCTTACAACTATTCTTAACCTGCTACAAAGTCAACAAGTAAACTCCTTTATCACTTCAAAGCCATATCCCATCATGCAGCTCACCATCACTGTCCACTTCCTGTTTTCTGCCGCCTGCCACACCAGGGAGTTGCGGTCGTAGAAGACGTCATCATCGACTTCCTCCTGTTTGCGTGGGAGGCAGTGGAGGAACACCCAGTTGGCCCCTGCCTCCTTCAGCATCTGGAGCAGGACATCGCAACATCATCGACAGGTCAATAGGGGCATGGGGTGGCCAGGGTATACTTAGGAAAAATAAATAGTTGACGAAAATACTGAAAAGTGTTTGCCTTGGTTTTAAATGCTCACAGGACATCCTGAAATAGTTGTGGGTAAAAAAGATAATTGTATGTCTTGGAGAAGTGACAGAGCACCCAAATCCAATAAATTCTCAGTCATTGGTACCAGTGTGATTGGCTGCATGCTCTTAGTTTGTTTTGTTTGTTTGTTTGTTTGTTTGTTTGCTTGTTGTTAACGCCACACTTAGCAAAATTCCAGCTATATGACGTCAGGCTGTAAATAATCAAGTCTGGACCAGACAATCCAGTGACTGACATCATCAGCATCGCTCTACACAGTTGGGATACGATGACATGCATCAACTTAGTATATATGGAACACGCTTGTGTTTTGTCTGATACCTGCACATAGAAAATAATAATTAGGAGTATAAGTTGGATTCTTGCGATTTTTTTTAATTTGTGTAATCAGACTGGAATACTGTTTGATCAAAGTTTTCGGACAGCCATGTTTAGCGCGATTACTCGTGCTATAACAGGCAGTGTAGCATCAAACAGAAATTGTAAATTCTCAGATGAGGGCTTGTTTTTAAGAGAAAGTTGTCTTTTATGAGTGAAAGAGATGTTTTACAGTTGTTTAGAGAGAAAACAACTGTTTTAAGCGTCTGAAAACCGATATATACAAAGATGTCCGTAGACACAAGTATTGTTAGACTGGAATCAAATTTGTTCCAGGCAGTACTGGGGAGCCTCGTCCCTCTGACCTTGCGAGTGATCTGGTAGCCGGCGAAGTCCTTCAGACGTTTCTGCTTCTCCTCCTCCTGTCCCATGCTGACCCAAGTATCCGTGACGACGACGTCAGCACGGTACACAGCTTCCAGGGGGTCCGTGGTCATGTTGAAGTCACTCTTGCGCTGCAGGATGCGAGGTAATGGATCACATGACGTGACATGCTTTGTCAAATTGATTGTCAGGGCAATATGAAACATAGTAAGAGATCTATTGTATTGAGATTACAAATTTTAGCAGTTAGGCCCCCAGTTAGCTCTGCTAGCTATTTTATTCACCTAGAATGCCATGACACCTAAGATATGGTCATGTGTATATCCAATCTCATTAAAATCAGATCTTAGTTTTCGCTGCCGCTAAACAAAGATCTGAGGACATCCCATTACGGGTCACGTCAGAACGAACTTTCGTTAATTTTGACCGACCAATGAAATGACTGACAAGAAATTGACATTAGCAAATCTGAAGGCAGCTTTCTCGAGCTTTACGACACTAGTTTCAAACTGGCGACTACTTTCGAAACATATTTTGACGTATTCTCGATTAAAAATGTTAAAACTGATAAGAAGAACATTCTGGAATGGCTTATATATGGCCTAGATTGTATGGATATAATCCTAAAACCCGTAACTTTCATTCGGAATACCCCATGTTAAATATTTCGTGGTTGCATGATTAGAAAACACATTCCGACTGTCACTTTCATGATCTGGTAAGCGACGCTCTGATTGGTTGAATGGAAGGTCGTTCTGACATGACCCGTAATGGGATGTCCTCCGATCTTTGTTTAGCGATAGCGAGTACTAAGATCTGATTTTAATGAGATTGTGTGTATCGAGGGATATAGTTACTGACCAGGAAGCTGCAGACTTGTAAGCTCAGCCATCCAATACCCCCAATGCAATCCCTCTCTACCTTCTATCACATGTCTGTCTGTTACATACCTTACCACACAACTTGATGACATACTCCGTTATTTTGGGGTCTGGTTCATAGCCCTGGAACAAACAAAGAACAGGAACATATGGTTGATCTAATTCACTGAATGACTGCTTTTCCATGTAGCCCATTTGAAAATCCAGTGGAGTTCTCTTTTGTCTGGTATGCCTGGCGAATAATACTCGATGAACTTATACTTTCTGAAAATAATATCAAAATGTTCTTGACAGCGGACTAAAAAAACCCCAGTAGGAATAAAGTTTGATTATTCAGTAAGTGCCTTAAGTCCAACAGAGCAAGTAAAGGTTATGATGTTACGATATATGTTACAAGAATGTTTATGAGGTCAAGTTCCTCAGGAGAGTGCATTTAGAAGTTGGAGATAATAATGACACTGGCGAAGAGGCGCGACGTACCCCGGAAACACTGTCAATGTATAAAACAGAAGTTGTTATCCATAATACTCCATATCTCAAGTTCCTTATGGCATTTCTGAGATTCCTTGAGATCAGTTGGTGGTGGCACATGGTCCTGTGCACAGCGCACAGATCACAAATCAGGTGAAGTTAAGCAACGTCGGTCTCGGAGAGTAGTTGGATGGGTGACCACGTTAAGCAGCTTGACTCCTGAGAGTTTCTAGGGCTTCGGTCCTGCCCCACACTGAAGCACATGTACCACATGTGGTGTCTCCTTAGGCAAGTGACTTTGTTCGAAATGTGCCTCTGCTCACCCAGCAGTGAGTGGGTACCCGGTAGGATGAGACGGTAATGTGTCTGTTAACCTTCTAGCGCCTCACAGGCAGTTTGGGTTGTATACTCCCCAGGGAGATGAGAATTAAAATGGAGTGCTCACTGATCCATTGACCGGGGTAATAATAGTGTAGCGCTATGAGCATCCACTTGGTGAATGGAATCTGGTGCATTATAAATGCACTTATTATTATTATTATTATTAGTAGTAGTATAATTCATGATTTATGGAGTCTTTTATGCATTCTGACATAAAGATACGACAGAATGATTGATACAACAGGTTAGCCAACATTGTATATCCTGGTGTGAGTCATAACAAGAGCCATTAAATGGCAAACAGCTGGGAAATGTGAAGCTGTTATACTACCTTTGGTGTAGCTATACTGAGGTCGATGCCAAGCTTGCTGCACCCAATCATGAGGGAGTGGGTGATGTTGTTGCCGTCGCCCACCCACGCAATCTTCATTCCTCGCAAATAACCGAAGTGTTCCTGTGGGTGGAGAAAGCAGAGTCAGGTAATATCAGGCTGACTGGCAGATGGTAACACACATGTAAATTGAGGACGTCTGCCAGTGTCTGTAAGGGATGGAACACACACTTACATGTAAAGTGAGGACGTCTGCCAGTGTCTGTAGGGGATGGAACACACACTTACATGTAAATTGAGGACGTCTGCCAGTGTCTGTAGGGGGTGGAACACACACTTACATGTAAATTGAGGACGTCTGACAGTGTCTGTAGGGGGTGGAACACACACTTACATGTAAAGTGAGGACGTCTGACAGTGTCTGTAGGGGATGGAACACACACTTTCATGTAAAGTGAGGAAGTCTGACAGTGTCTGTAGGGGATGGAACACACACTTACATGTAAAGTGAGGACGTCTGCCAGTGTCTGTAGGGGGTGGAACACACACTTACATGTAAAGTGAGGAAGTCTGACAGTGTCTGTAGGGGATGGAACACACACTTACATGTAAAGTGAGGACGTCTGCCAGTGTCTGTAGGGGATGTAACACACACTTACATGTAAAGTGAGGACGTCTGCCAGTGTCTGTAGGGGGTGGAACACACACTTACATGTAAAGTGAGGACGTTTGCCAGTGTCTGTAGGGGATGGAACACACACTTACATGTAAAGTGAGGACGTCTGCCAGTGTCTGTAGGGGGTGGAACACACACTTACATGTAAAGTGAGGACGTCTGCCAGTGTCTGTAGGGGATGGAACACACACTTACATGTAAAATGAGGACGTCTGACAGTGTCTGTAGGGGGTGGAACACACACTTACATGTAAAGTGAGGAGGTCTGCCAGTGTCTGTAGGGGGTGGAACACACACTTACATGTAAAGTGAGGACGTCTGACAGTGTCTGTAGGGGATGGAACACACACTTACAACATGTAAAGTGAGGAAGTCTGACAGTGTCTGTAGGGGGTGGAACACACACTTACATGTAAAGTGAGGACGTCTGACAGTGTCTGTAGGGGATTGAACACACACTTACAACATGTAAAGTGAGGAAGTCTGACAGTGTCTGTAGGGGATGGAACACACACTTACATGTAAAATGAGGAAGTCTGCCAGTGTCTGTAGGGGATGTAACACACTTACATGTAAAGTGAGGAAGTCTGACAGTGTCTGTAGGGGATGGAACACACACTTACATGTAAAGTGAGGAAGTCTGCCAGTGTCTGTAGGGGATGTAACACACACTTACATGTAAAGTGAGGAAGTCTGCCAGTGTCTGTAGGGGATGGAACACACACTTACATGTAAATTGAGGACGTCTGCCAGTGTCTGTAGGGGATGTAACACACTTACATGTAAAATGAGGACGTCTGACAGTGTCTGTAGGGGATGGAACACACACTTACATGTAAAGTGAGGACGTCTGCCAGTGTCTGTAGGGGGTGGAACACACACTTACATGTAAAGTGAGGACGTCTACCAGTGTCTGTAGGGGATGGAACACACACTTACATGTAAAGTGAGGAAGTCTGCCAGCGTCTGTAGGGGATGGAACACACACTTACATGTAAAGTGAGGAGGTCTGCCAGTGTCTGTAGGGGGTGGAACACACACTTACATGTAAATTGAGGAAGTCTGCCAGTGTCTGTAGGGGATGGAACACACACTTACATGTAAAGTGAGGACGTCTGACAGTGTCTGTAGGGGATTGAACACACACTTACAACATGTAAAGTGAGGAAGTCTGACAGTGTCTGTAGGGGGTGGAACACACACTTACATGTAAAGTGAGGACGTCTGACAGTGTCTGTAGGGGATTGAACACACACTTACAACATGTAAAGTGAGGAAGTCTGACAGTGTCTGTAGGGGATGGAACACACACTTACATGTAAAATGAGGAAGTCTGCCAGTGTCTGTAGGGGATGTAACACACTTACATGTAAAATGAGGACGTCTGACAGTGTCTGTAGGGGATGGAACACACACTTACATGTAAAGTGAGGACGTCTGCCAGTGTCTGTAGGGGGTGGAACACACACTTACATGTAAAGTGAGGACGTCTGCCAGTGTCTGTAGGGGATGGAACACACACTTACATGTAAAGTGAGGACGTCTGACAGTGTCTGTAGGGGATGGAACACACACTTACATGTAAAGTGAGGAAGTCTGCCAGCGTCTGTAGGGGATTGAACACACACTTACAACATGTAAAATGAGGAAGTCTGACAGTGTCTGTAGGGGATGGAACACACACTTACATGTAAAGTGAGGAGGTCTGCCAGTGTCTGTAGGGGATGTAACACACTTACATGTAAAATGAGGACGTCTGACAGTGTCTGTAGGGGATGGAACACACACTTACATGTAAAGTGAGGACGTCTGCCAGTGTCTGTAGGGGGTGGAACACACACTTACATGTAAAGTGAGGACGTCTGCCAGTGTCTGTAGGGGATGGAACACACACTTACATGTAAAGTAAGGACGTCTGACAGTGTCTGTAGGGGATGGAACACACACTTACATGTAAAGTGAGGAAGTCTGCCAGCGTCTGTAGGGGATTGAACACACACTTACAACATGTAAAATGAGGAAGTCTGACAGTGTCTGTAGGGGATGGAACACACACTTACATGTAAAGTGAGGAAGTCTGCCAGTGTCTGTAGGGGATGGAACACACACTTACATGTAAAGTGAGGACGTCTGACAGTGTCTGTAGGGGATTGAACACACACTTACAACATGTAAAGTGAGGAAGTCTGACAGTGTCTGTAGGGGGTGGAACACACACTTACATGTGAAGTGAGGACGTCTGACAGTGTCTGTAGGGGATTGAACACACACTTACAACATGTAAAGTGAGGAAGTCTGCCAGTGTCTGTAGGGGATGGAACACACACTTACATGTAAAGTAAGGACGTCTGCCAGTGTCTGTAGGGGATGGAACACACACTTACATGTAAAGTGAGGACGTCTGACAGTGTCTGTAGGGGATGGAACACACACTTACATGTAAAGTAAGGACGTCTGACAGTGTCTGTAGGGGGTGGAACACACACTTACATGTAAAGTAAGGAAGTCTGCCATTGTCTGTAGGGGATGGAACACACACTTACATGTAAAGTGAGGAAGTCTGACAGTGTCTGTAGGGGATGGAACACACACTTACATGTAAAGTAAGGACGTCTGACAGTGTCTGTAGGGGGTGGAACACACACTTACATGTAAAGTGAGGACGTTTGACAGTGTCTGTAGGGGGTGGAACACACACTTACAACATGTAAAGTGAGGAAGTCTGACAGTGTCTGTAGGGGATGGAACACACACTTACATGTAAAGTAAGGACGTCTGCCAGTGTTTGTAGGGGATGGAACACACACTTACATGTAAAGTAAGGACGTCTGCCAGTGTCTGTAGGGGGTGGAACACACACTTACATGTAAAATGAGGACGTCTGCCAGTGTCTGTAGGGGATGGAACACACACTTACATGTAAAGTGAGGACGTCTGCCAGTGTCTGTAGGGGGTGGAACACACACTTACATGTAAAGTGAGGAGGTCTGCCAGTGTCTGTAGGGGATGGAACACACACTTACATGTAAAGTGAGGACGTCTGACAGTGTCTGTAGGGGATGGAACACACACTTACATGTAAAGTGAGGACGTCTGACAGTGTCTGTAGGGGATGGAACACACACTTACATGTAAAGTAAGGAAGTCTGCCAGTGTCTGTAGGGGATGGAACACACACTTACATGTAAAGTGAGGAAGTCTGACAGTGTCTGTAGGGGATGGAACACACACTTACATGTAAAGTGAGGAGGTCTGCCAGTGTCTGTAGGGGATGGAACACACACTTACATGTAAAGTGAGGACGTCTGACAGTGTCTGTAGGGGATGGAACACACACTTACATGTAAAGTGAGGAAGTCTGACAGTGTCTGTAGGGGATGGAACACACACTTACATGTAAAGTGAGGAAGTCTGACAGTGTCTGTAGGGGATGGAACACACACTTACATGTAAAGTGAGGAGGTCTGCCAGTGTCTGTAGGGGATGGAACACACACTTACATGTAAAGTGAGGACGTCTGACAGTGTCCGTAGGGGATGGAACACACACTTACATGTAAAGTGAGGAAGTCTGACAGTGTCTGTAGGGGATGGAACACACACTTACATGTAAAGTGAGGAGGTCTGACAGTGTCTGTAGGGGATGGAACACACACTTACATGTAAAGTGAGGAGGTCTGACAGCGTCTGTAGGGGATGGAACACACACTTACATGTAAAGTGAGGAGGTCTGACAGTGTCTGTAGGGGATGGAACACACACTTACATGTAAAGTGAGGAAGTCTGACAGTGTCTGTAGGGGATGTAACACACTTACATGTAAAGTGAGGAGGTCTGACAGTGTCCGTAGGGGATGGAACACACACTTACATGTAAATTGAGGACGTCTGCCAGTGTCTGTAGGGGATGTAACACACTTACATGTAAAATGAGGACGTCTGACAGTGTCTGTAGGGGATGGAACACACACTTACATGTAAAGTGAGGACGTCTGCCAGTGTCTGTAGGGGATGGAACACACACTTACATGTAAAGTGAGGACGTCTGACAGTGTCTGTAGGGGATGGAACACACACTTACATGTAAAGTGAGGAAGTCTGCCAGTGTCTGTAGGGGGTGGAACACACACTTACATGTAAAGTGAGGAAGTCTGACAGTGTCTGTAGGGGATGGAACACACACTTACATGTAAAGTGAGGACGTCTGCCAGTGTCTGTAGGGGATGGAACACACACTTACATGTAAAGTGAGGACGTCTGCCAGTGTCTGTAGGGGATGTAACACACTTACATGTAAAATGAGGACGTCTGACAGTGTCTGTAGGGGATGGAACACACACTTACATGTAAAGTAAGGAAGTCTGCCAGTGTCTGTAGGGGGTGGAACACACACTTACATGTAAAGTGAGGAAGTCTGACAGTGTCTGTAGGGGATGGAACACACACTTACATGTAAAATGAGGACGTCTGACAGTGTCTGTAGGGGGTGGAACACACACTTACATGTAAAGTGAGGACGTCTGCCAGTGTCTGTAGGGGATGGAACACACACTTACATGTAAAGTAAGGAAGTCTGCCAGTGTCTGTAAGGGATGGAACACACACTTACATGTAAAGTAAGGAAGTCTGCCAGTGTCTGTAAGGGATGGAACACACACTTACATGTAAAGTAAGGAAGTCTGCCAGTGTCTGTAAGGGATGGAACACACACTTACATGTAAAGTAAGGACGTCTGCCAGTGTCTGTAGGGGATGGAACACACACTTACATGTAAAGTGAGGAAGTCTGCCAGTGTCTGTAGGGGGTGGAACACACACTTACATGTAAAGTGAGGACGTCTGCCAGTGTCTGTAGGGGGTGGAACACACACTTACATGTAAAATGAGGACGTCTGACAGTGTCTGTAGGGGATGGAACACAGACTTACAACATGTAAAGTGAGGACGTCTGCCAGTGTCTGTAAGGGATGGAACACACACTTACATGTAAAGTGAGGACGTCTGACAGTGTCTGTAGGGGGTGGAACACACACTTACATGTAAAGTGAGGACGTCTGACAGTGTCTGTAGGGGATGGAACACACACTTACATGTAAAGTGAGGAAGTCTGACAGTGTCTGTAGGGGATGGAACACACACTTACATGTAAAATGAGGACGTCTGACAGTGTCTGTAGGGGATGGAACACACACTTACATGTAAAATGAGGACGTCTGACAGTGTCTGTAGGGGATGGAACACACACTTACATGTAAAGTGAGGACGTCTGCCAGTGTCTGTAGGGGATGGAACACACACTTACATGTAAAATGAGGAAGTCTGCCAGTGTCTGTAGGGGATGGAACACACACTTACATGTAAAGTGAGGAAGTCTGACAGTGTCTGTAGGGGGTGGAACACACACTTACATGTAAAGTGAGGACGTCTGCCAGTGTCTGTAAGGGATGGAACACACACTTACATGTAAAGTAAGGACGTCTGACAGTGTCTGTAGGGGATGGAACACACACTTACATGTAAAATGAGGACGTCTGACAGTGTCTGTAGGGGATGGAACACACACTTACATGTAAAGTGAGGACGTCTGACAGTGTCTGTAGGGGATGGAACACACACTTACATGTAAAGTGAGGAAGTCTGACAGTGTCTGTAGGGGATGGAACACACACTTACATGTAAAGTGAGGAAGTCTGCCAGCGTCTGTAGGGGGTGGAACATATCAGATAGGCCACTGACGACAGGAACTGAGGCCTCCATTGCCAAGTTGTCCAAATCCTCCTGTCCATATACACGGGCCAGAATCAGGTCGGACATTCCACTCATCACCCGAGCCGAGTCCTTGATGGACTCATTCACGCCAAGATGGATGTCGTCAGGCCCAAGGAATGCTGCATGACCTCCCAACATGGCCATACCTGCAACAAGATGGATGTCGTCAGGCCCAAGGAATGCTGCATGACCTCCCAACATGGCCATGCCTGCAACAAGATGGCACCATCCAGGCACACTGATCAAGTGCTCTAAGGTGCTGTAATTCCTTCTGTAGAATATAGTAGCCATAGTTTGCCTACCTCAACTGTCGATAAATATTGCGATACTTTTGTCCCAATATGATAGGTATCGAAATCCTTACACTGTAACATGTTTGCATGAAAATGTTCATTTTCCTTGTGGCAAAAATAAGATTGTGCTGTCAAACAGTTTGTGTTTATCTCACATGATGTATCACTGTAGGCTTGTTCTAGTACCACACTGTCAGATTTAGCACCTTGTTTCATGATAAGACACAAGCATGAGTATTTATCAGGTCGGGTTATAGCTAAACTTGGTAATATTTTTCTTTGAAATATGTACAGAATTAAACCATGAATCGATAAAAGAGTAGGAATATTGAGTATGTATCGTCAGGAGTAATTTCTCATTGTATGCGAATCATGTCATCGTTAACAGTAGCCACTGTGTTATCATGTTCAAACATCTATACAGTCATGTACATTATGTCTGGCCAGACAAGCCACTGTGTTATCATGATCAAACATATATACAGTCATGTGCATTATGTCTGGCCAGACAAGCCACTGTGTTATCATGATCAAACATCTATACAGTCATGTACATTGTGTCTGGCCAGACAAGCCGCTGTGTTATCATCATCAAACATATATACAGTCATGTGCTTTATGTCCGGCCAGACAAGCCACTGTGTTATCATGATCAAACATCTATACAGTCATGTACATTGTGTCTGGCCAGACAAGCCACTGTGTTATCATGATCAAACATATATACAGTCATGTGCATTATGTCCGGCCAGACAAGCCACTGCGTTATCATGATCAAACATCTATACAGTCATGTGCATTGTGTCTGGCTAGACAAGCCACTGTGTTATCATGATCAAACATCTATACAGTCATGTACATTGTGTCTGGCCAGACAAGCCACTGCGTTATCATGATCAAACATCTATACAGTCATGTACATTGTGTCTGGCCAGACAAGCCACTGTGTTATCATGATCAAACATCTATACAGTCATGTACATTGTGTCTGGCCAGACAAGCCACTGTGTTATCATGATCAAACATCTATACAGTCATGTACATTGTGTCTGGCCAGACAAGCCACTGTGTTATCATGATCAAACATATATACAGTCATGTGCATTATGTCCGGCCAGACAAGCCACTGTGTTATCATGATCAAACATCTATACAGTCATGTACATTGTGTCTGGCCAGACAAGCCACTGTGTTATCATGATCAAACATATATACAGTCATGTGCATTATGTCCGGCCAGACAAGCCACTGCGTTATCATGATCAAACATCTATACAGTCATGTGCATTGTGTCTGGCTAGACAAGCCACTGTGTTATCATGATCAAACATCTATACAGTCATGTACATTGTGTCTGGCCAGACAAGCCACTGCGTTATCATGATCAAACATCTATACAGTCATGTACATTGTGTCTGGCCAGACAAGCCACTGTGTTATCATGATCAAACATCTATACAGTCATGTACATTGTGTCTGGCCAGACAAGCCACTGTGTTATCATGATCAAACATATATACAGTCATGTGCATTATGTCCGGCCAGACAAGCCACTGTGTTATCATGATCAAACATCTATACAGTCATGTACATTGTGTCTGGCCAGACAAGCCACTGTGTTATCATGATCAAACATCTATACAGTCATGTACATTGTGTCTGGCCAGACAAGCCACTGTGTTATCATGATCAAACATATATACAGTCATGTACATTATGTCCGGCCAGACAAGCCACTGTGTTATCATGATCAAACATATATACAGTCATGTGCATTATGTCCGGCCAGACAAGCCACTGTGTTATCATGATCAAACATCTATACAGTCATATACATTGTGTCTGGCCAGACAAGCCACTGTGTTATCATGATCAAACATCTATACAGTCATGTACATTGTGTCTGGCCAGACAAGCCACTGTGTTATCATCATCAAACATCTATACAGTCATGTACATTGTGTCTGGCCAGACAAGCCACTGCGTTATCATGATCAACCATCTATACAGTCATGTACATTGTGTCTGGCCAGACAAGCCACTGTATTATCATGATCAAACATCTATACAGTCATGTGCATTATGTCTGGCCAGACAAGCCACTGTGTTATCATGATCAAACATCTATACAGTCATGTACATTATGTCTGGCCAGACAAGCCACTGTGTTATCATCATCAAACATCTATACAGTCATGTACATTGTGTCTGGCCAGACAAGCCACTGTGTTATCATGATCAAACATCTATACAGTCATGTACATTGTGTCTGGCCAGACAAGCCACTGTGTTGTCATGATCAAACATCTATACAGTCATGTACATTGTGTCTGGCCAGACAAGCCACTGTGTTATCATCATCAAACATCTATACAGTCCTGTACATTGTGTCTGGCCAGACAAGCCACTGTGTTATCATGATCAAACATCTATACAGTCATGTACATTGTGTCTGGCCAGACAAGCCACTGTGTTATCATCATCAAACATCTATACAGTCATGTACATTGTGTCTGGCCAGACAAGCCACTGCGTTATCATGATCAACCATCTATACAGTCATGTACATTGTGTCTGGCCAGACAAGCCACTGTATTATCATGATCAAACATCTATACAGTCATGTGCATTATGTCTGGCCAGACAAGCCACTGTGTTATCATGATCAAACATCTATACAGTCATGTACATTATGTCTGGCCAGACAAGCCACTGTGTTATCATCATCAAACATCTATACAGTCATGTACATTGTGTCTGGCCAGACAAGCCACTGTGTTATCATGATCAAACATCTATACAGTCATGTACATTGTGTCTGGCCAGACAAGCCACTGTGTTGTCATGATCAAACATCTATACAGTCATGTACATTGTGTCTGGCCAGACAAGCCACTGTGTTATCATCATCAAACATCTATACAGTCCTGTACATTGTGTCTGGCCAGACAAGCCACTGTGTTATCATCATCAAACATCTATACAGTCATGTACATTGTGTCTGGCCAGACAAGCCACTGTGTTATCATGATCAAACATCTAAACAGTCATGTACATTATGTCTGGCCAGACAAGCCACTGTGTTATCATGATCAAACATCTATACAGTCATGAACATTATGTCTGGCCAGACAAGCCACTGTGTTATCATGATCAAACATCTATACAGTCATGTACATTATGTCTGGCCAGACAAGCCACTGTGTTATCATGATCAAACATCTATACAGTCATGTACATTATGCCTGGCCAGACAAGCCACTGTGTTATCATGATCAAACATCTATACAGTCCTGTACATTATGTCTAGCCAGACAAGCCACTGTGTTATCATGATCAAACATCTATACAGTCATGTACATTATGTCTGGCCAGACAAGCCACTGTGTTATCATGATCAAACATCTATACAGTCCTGTACATTATGAAGTCCTTAATTAGTCATGTAATGACATGAACATGATAACAATTACATCCCAAAGGGGGTTTACCCATTTCTGTAGAGAGGCGTGTCCGTGTGCTCCTCTTCTGGAAGATCATGGACACGGACTTGCCCAGCAGTGGCTGGATCACCTGCAACAGGAACACTCCACTGGCACTGACGCTTATTGACAGCAGTTTAGGAAATCAGACGTCCTAGTTTCTAAGTCATCAATACACACACATGGATGAAATAGTGGAGGACACGCTGGGACAAAACAATAGGCTCTGCTACATATCTTCTGCTACATATCTTCTGCTACATATCTTCTGCTACAGTTCTGTTATCCATGCATACAGCACAGGAACCTCTCATTACAGATGGTGCCAAACATTTGTTGTGTCACACACAGTCTACCAAATTGTACACGGATGCTGGTACACATACTATTGAATAGAAAACAGAACAGCCAAATTACTATACAAACCAATTTCTTTAAATGTTTGTTTTCTGAAGTCCGTATAAGCGGGGCATGACTGTATCACATGACTAACCACTGGTCCGGGTAGTCCTGTGGGTACCCGTGTCCTACTCAGTACCCACCCGACCCGACCCAGTACCCCTCCCAGCCCTAATGCGGACCCATACAAATTTTTAACAAGGGCCCCGACACGAGATGTACCTGCCATTGGTCATGCTCCCGACACCGAGATGTGCCTGCCATGGGTCATGCTCCCGACACGAGATGTGCCTGCCATGTGTCATGCTCCCGACACGAGATGTACCTGCCATGGGTCATGCTTCCGACACGAGATGTACCTGCCATGGGTCATGCTCCCGACACGAAATGTGCCTGCCATGGGTCATGCTCCCGACACGAGATGTACCTGCCATGGGTCATGCTCCCGACACGAGATGTACCTGCCATGTGTCATGCTCCCGACACGAGGTGTACCTGCCATGGGTCATGCTCCCGACACGAGATATACCTGCCATGGGTCATGCTCCCAACACGAGATGTACCTGCCATTGGTCATGTTCCAAACATGAGATGTACCTGCCATGGGTCATGCTCCCGACACGAGGTGTACCTGCCATGTGTCATGCTCCCGACACGAGATGTACCTGCCATGGGTCATGCTCCCGACACGAGATGTACCTGCCATGGGTCATGCTCCCGACACGAGGTGTACCTGCCATGGGTCATGCTCCCGACACGAGATGTGCCCGCCATGGGTCATGCTCCCGACACGAGATATACCTGCGATGGGTCATGCTCATTTCGAACACTGTTTCAGACAACAGTTTACTTCCGAGTCCTCAAGTGACACTGTCATGTTCGTGCATGTATTCCACACAACTAGTAATCATCAATTACTTGGAAAACAAATATTAAACAAAACTTATTTCTATTCATTACACAAGGTATCAAATAAAAAGGATTTCTAAGTGTGCAATGTCAGCACCAGGAACTTATAACCATACCATCATAACCCATCCTTGCATTTCAGTAAACCGACACAAACCCCTGGATCCATTCTTGTGGTTCTCGTGATCTCAAATTGCCCACCCTTGATTTTCTTTTAATATGCTACACTACTCAGTCTAACGGACCAATCAGAATGCACTTTACTAACCAGCCTTAATGGTGGGTTTCGATATCACCAACGTTGCAGCCAGATTATGACAAAGTTTGCGAGAAATCCCATTTTGAAAAACTGAGTTTTTTGATTGAAAGGATGTCTTAATATCCATTAAAACTGGCAGTAGCTTGGGTTTCTAGGCAATATCCGTTACCTCCAATTCCCATTTGTTTCCTTATCTCGACGTCTGATTGGTCGGTGAAATGTTAATGGAAATCAAGAGCGGGTAATATGAGATAGCGAGAGCCACAGGATTGGATGTAGAGGATACTGTGGGTTTACCGCAATGTAAGCCCAGGAGATATTGAGGGTGAATTATACCAGTGCAAATTAACTCTTCCTGCAGGGAATTTTCATGACAAGGTAAAGTTAGATTTACCGTATTCGACATAACAAGCGCCCCGCTCTAATAAGCGCCCACGGCGATATTTGCTAATATATTGGCTAGTGAACAATCCCAATTGGCACCCCTTCCGATTCATCAATGTACACAAGACTTATTTATTCGCATATAATATGCACTTGTGTGTTACATGCACCCTTAATTATAGGCAATTAAATTGGACAATTGTCAGCATAAACCACGAAATTTATCTTTCAACTGTTTTTTTCCCCCCGAAATAATATTCTGATAAGAACCCCCTTTAAATAATTTTGAGAGCGCCCTGGGGGTTTATTACGTTGAATACGGTAAGTTGATTTGGCCAATACCAAACAGAGGGTCGATATTGGAACCGTGTAGACTGGAGAACTCTCCATTATATATTTCATAACAGGAAAATATTGTCTCAAATGCAACAAAACATAAATTTGAAACATTTTTCCAAAAAGGCACACCAGGGAAAAGGAAAAAGGAAATTCACAAATGTTCATTATCATTTTTTAAATCATACTTAAAACCTTGACTGCTGACAGTCTATGTACCTCTTTGTCCTCTTTGATTCGCTTCTTCAGATCTTTGGCCGTCCATAGTAACTGTTTGATCTCCTCAGCCTGGAAGTCTTTGAGTGTCAGGAAGTCGCGACCAACTAAAGACTTGGGTCCTCTGAAACAAACAGATCATCTGGTGTGACATCGGATGATGATCAGACAGTGAGATGCGACAGTGGTATGATGGTATACTAGCACTCCCAGCCAAGAAGCTAGAGATGGTTGCTGGAGAAACATCCACTCAGCCTTGAACATGACTAACCCCAACAATAACCGGAAACAAACAAAGAAACAACATGAGGCGATTCTGTCCCAGGCCATACAGACATGAAGAGATTCTATACAAGGCCATACAGACATGAAGAGATTCTATACAAGGCCATACAGACATGAAGAGATTCTGTCCAAGGCCATATAGACATGAAGAGATTCTATACAAGGCCATACAGACATGAAGAGATTCTATACAAGGCCATACAGACATGAAGAGATTCTGTCCAAGGCCATATAGACATGAAGAGATTCTGTCCCAGGCCATACAGACATGAAGAGATTCTGTCCCAGGCCATACTGACATGAGGAGATTCTGTCCCAGGCCATACAGACATGAGGAGATTCTGTCCCAGGCCATACAGACATGAAGAGATTCTATACAAGGCCATACAGACATGAAGAGATTCTGTCCAAGGCCATATAGACATGAAGAGATTCTGTCCCAGGCCATACAGACATGAAGAGATTCTGTCCCAGGCCATACAGACATGAGGCGATTCTCTCCCAGGCCATATAGACATGAAGAGATTCTGTCCTAGGCCATACAGACATGAAGAGATTCTGTCCCAGGCCATACAGACATGAGGCGATTCTCTCCCAGGCCATATAGACATGAAGAGATTCTGTCCCAGGCCATACAGACATGAAGAGATTCTGTCCCAGGCCATACAGACATGAGGCGATTCTCTCCCAGGCCATATAGACATGAAGAGATTCTGTCCCAGGCCATACAGACATGAAGAGATTCTGTCCCAGGCCATACAGACATGAAGAGATTCTGTCCCAGGCCATACAGACATGAAGAGATTCTGTCCCAGGCCATATAGACATGAAGAGATTCTGTCCCAGGCCATACAGACATGAAGAGATTCTGTCCCAGGCCATACAGACATGAAGAGATTCTGTCCCAGACCATACAGACATGAAGAGATTCTGTCCCATACCATACAGACATGAGGCGATTCTGTCCCAGGCCATACAGACATGAGGAGATTCTGTCCCAGGCCATATAGACATGAGGAGATTCTGTCCCAGGCCATACAGACATGAGGAGATTCTGTCCCAGGCCATATAGACATGAGGAGATTCTGTCCCAAACAATATAGACATGAGGCAATTCTGTCCCAGGCCATATAGACATGAGGAGATTCTGTCCCAGGCCATACAGACATGAGGAGATTCTCTCCCAGGCCATACAGACATGAAGAGATTCTGTCCCAGGCCATACAGACATGAGGAGATTCTGTCCCAGGCCATATAGACATGAGGAGATTCTGTCCCAGGCCATACAGACATGAGGAGATTCTGTCCCAGGCCATACAGACATGAGGAGATTCTGTCCCAGGCCATATAGACATGAGGAGATTCTGTCCCAGGCCATACAGACATGAGGAGATTCTCTCCCAGGCCATACAGACATGAAGAGATTCTCTCCCAGGCCATACAGACATGAGGCGATTCTCTCCCAGGCCATACAGACATGAAGAGATTCTGTCCCAGGCCATACAGACATGAGGCGATTCTCTCCCAGGCCATACAGACATGAGGCGATTCTCTCCCAGGCCATACAGACATGAGGAGATTCTGTCCCAGGCCATATAGACATGAGGAGATTCTGTCCCAGGCCATACAGACATGAGGAGATTCTCTCCCAGGCCATACAGACATGAAGAGATTCTGTCCCAGGCCATACAGACATGAGGAGATTCTCTCCCAGGCCATATTGACATGAAGAGATTCTATACAAGGCCATACAGACATGAGGAGATTCTGTCCCAGGCCATACAGACATGAGGCGATTCTGTTCCAGGCCATATAGACATGAGGAGATTCTGTCCCAGGCCATACAGACATGAGGCGATTCTGTTCCAGGCCATACAGACATGAGGAGATTCTGTCCCAGGCAATACAGACATGAGGAGATTCTGTCCCAGGCCATATAGACATGAGGAGATTCTGTCCCAGGCCATACAGACATGAGGAGATTCTCTCCCAGGCCATACAGACATGAAGAGATTCTGTCCCAGGCCATACAGACATGAGGAGATTCTCTCCCAGGCCATATTGACATGAAGAGATTCTATACAAGGCCATACAGACATGAGGAGATTCTGTCCCAGGCCATACAGACAAGAGGCGATTCTGTTCCAGGCCATATAGACATGAGGAGATTCTGTCCCAGGCCATACAGACATGAAGAGATTCTGTCCCAGGCCATACAGACATGAGGAGATTGTCCCAAGCCATATTGACATGAGGAGATTCTGTCCCAGGCAATATAGACATGAGGCAATTCTGTCCCAGGCCATATAGACATGAGGAGATTCTCTCCCAGGCCATATAGACATGAGGAGATTCTGTCCCAGGCCATACAGACATGAGGAGATTCTGTCCCAGGCAATATAGACATGAGGCGATTCTGTTCCAGGCCATACAGACATGAGGAGATTCTGTCCCAGGCCATATAGACATGAGGCGATTCTCTCCCAGGCCATATAGACATGAGGAGATTCTGTCCCAGGCCATACAGACATGAGGAGATTCTGTCCCAGGCAATATAGACATGAGGCGATTCTGTTCCAGGCCATATAGACATGAGGCGATTCTGTTCCAGGCCATACAGACATGAAGAGATTCTTTCCAACACCATATAGACCTGCTATTAATAACTTTGTTATTTACATGAGGAAAAGAATGACATGAACTAAGTTCTAAAAGTTTAATTTCCCTGAAGCCCTTACTTTCACTAATCTCAGATACACTATAATCATGATAATCACTTAAACACCGAGGCTTCCACAAAAAATGGCATTGTGTATTCATAGCTTTCGGCCATGGGAGCCGTGCCAATTTACACTTGTCAGAGGGGTACTCAAAGTATGTGATCTAGACTACCAGTTGTCGGACTTTCATTTTTGTGGAAGCCTCGGTGGCTGAGTAGGTTAGATCGCTGACTTTGTGTGTTGGAGATTAGGTGCCTCACACTGGCAATATGGGTTTGAAGCCCGGACGGGACTCAACCCAAAAAGGTACGAGAATCTGTACTTTACTAAGAAAGTGTTATCCCAAATATTACATTTGTTACATTTGACCGCTTTCTAATTTAATACATTATCAATCGTTAATTGAATATTGATTGCCTTGTGAAACCTATTATCATTCACTCGATTAAAAGCAATTTCCAAAACTAATTATGACGCTGCTCCACTGTTAATAGTGTTGGCTGTAACAGTGTTATGTGGGACGTCCCTCCTGAAATAGGATCAGCCACTATCAGTGGAAGCTAATGAGACAATCAACTGCATCAGCAAATCCATTTCATGCCTGTCTGTGTACAGGGTGACAGCTCACTCCCTCGTCACATTGGGAGGCCCCTTGCTGTTGGAGAACACCACGACCTCTTGTTGCCATAGTGATGACGGAATCTGAAAACAGTTGGGGGGGTTTGGGTGAGGGGTGGGGCAGGTTAATTTGGGGGGGGGGGGGGGGGGATGATGATTTACTGAAATCCCCACAGTGACACAAATTAGAACTTTCATTACTGGGTTATTGTTGATCTAGAATTCAAAAGTTCAACATTGTTCAGATTTTGAATAAGCTTGAAGTCATGGTTATGACCCTGTCACACTACAACGTTTTAGAGCAACTTGCACCTAGCATGTAAAAGACAGTTAGTATGCTGTCATACGTCAAGCTTTCAACCAAAAACCATGATTTTGGCGTATCCATAGCGTATAGCGAGAGTTTACCCTATATGTAACGCATGTCTAATGTCTTAGTAGCATATCACTGACTTATACATAACTTATGACAGCGTATAAAAGCTTATTGCCAGCCGGTGCCTGGCGTGACGGTGTTCAACGTATGGCCAGCGTATGAGTAACGTATGACGTGTGCGCTCAGCGTAGGGGAAAGGTGCCTAAAACAGGCCCCGCGGTAGTATAACTAATAGTGTACACCCATTGATCAATTACCAGGAAAAGCGAGAGCAGTCTAGATATGTAAAAGGTGGGAAATGAAACTGTAATTTTGCTCTCTTTTTTTTTTCATTTTATATTATTGCCTGTAAAGGGGTAGAAAATCCTGGCTATTTCAGGAACTAATATTTCAGTAAAATTTGTATTGTTCAAAAGTGAATTGAGTAACAACAAAGTTTCAATTATATTCAATCATAATTCATACCTTCCCATATGCCAACAAATTTGTGCATGCACAAAAATGTTTTTAAGCCTCGGCGAACTACAACATATACCAGTGTTTCAGCGTTACCCACGTTTTGGCAAAAATTCTCTATCTTACGCCATATGTTACTGCTGTATGTTGTAGTGTGACGGGGCCATAAGTTTGTAAGCATACAGTAAGATTTAAGTTGCTGGAGTCAAGGGCGAACTAGTCAGGTCCAATGCAAAGTCCTGGTAGAGTTCAAGGGGTTAAAGAGATTTTTTTCTGCAATTTAACATGGATAGCTCAAGTGATTTCCTAAATGACTGAAATGGGATATTATATTACAGTTGCAATATGCCTTGCTGCAGTAAATTTCGTCTCGAAAAGTTTTAAAGTGAAAAAAGATTTCTGAAGAATATATATATGTTATGAGACTTGAAGGCCAGAAAGAATTGCTCTGTTTTGTTGAATTGTAACTGCCCAATATCACTGTTTCATAAGTATTTATCAAACAATATTGCCAATAAATGGGCGGGCGACGGACTAAAGTCAAGACGATGACAACAGCATGTACTGATCGAGAATGTCAAAATAAGATAACTTTGAAGAAAAAACAACCCTCACATGGCATATTCTGATTCTAACGGATGTTGATCATGTCATGTTAATGCGATGACAGGGTAAATAAAGTGATGTGGGTGCGCGGTTAGTCTTGTTTCTATATTGCCGGTCGCATCAGCTGGTAATCCAAGCAATGCTCGCCCACTGTAGTCAAAGTCACACTGCCAAGGGATTAGAATTTAGAAGTATGCGTGCACTGTCTCTAGATCTATGACAACATTGACACTGACAACTCACTCTGAACTATACTTCCTGGAACTGGGGTTGATCTGAGTCGAGCTTGCAGGTAAGAGAGACCTACACGGGAGTCGAGCCGCGAGTCGGCAATACACACTTGCCATCCTGATGGAACAACTCATCCAATGGCTGAAGGGAGACAACTCTGGGTGTGTAGTTCACACATGGATTTCGTCCGTCTCACACACAAAAAACGATAATCGTCTTGAAATAGAATTAATTATTTTATTGACATTTAGTTGTTTCGTGAAGTGAAGAGGCAGCTGATAAGAAGAATGCAACAAACAAACGATGGTGAAATTCCAAGAACACATAATCATAATTGACTCATATCCAAATCTAATGGTTGGTGCACATTATATATGAAATGTATCATTAACACTGCTATTTTTCATGCAAAGAAACATCGGATATTACGTACCAAAATAAATGTAGTTCCTTATGCAATGTCAGTCCCGAAATAATAAAAAAGAATCTTTACGTGTTATTTATTATAAAAGAAACCCACACAAATAAGATATTTGCCGCTTTTCTGTCATGTATAGAGAATATGTAAGTGAGTGAATGTTGTTTAGCGCCGCACTCATGTGACACTCCAGCTGAATGTCACAGTGGCCCGAAAGTCAGGGTTATCACGGTGGTCTGTTTCCCAGTCTGTCTCCCAGAACTTTGAGACCTGTGAAGATCCGGGTTAGAATAGGCCTTCAGCAACCCATGTTTGCCGTGAAAAGCGACTATGCTTGTCGTAAGAGGCGACTGACGAGATCGGGTGGTCAGACTCGCTGATTTGGCTCACGATGTCAATCACTGGACTGTCTGGTCCAGACTCGATTATTTACAGCCTGTCTCATATATATAGCTGGAATTGCTAAGTGCGGCGCTAAACAACAAACAAACAAAACCAACTAAGAGCATGCATCCAATCACACTGGTACCAATGACTGGGAGTGTATTGGACTTGGGTGCTCTGTCACTATTTTTTAACCCACAACAAAAATATTTCAGGATGTGCTAGCTGTGAGCAATTATTTAAAACCAAGGTAAACACATTGTTCAGCGACTAACGGGATCGGGTGATCTCCCTGACTTGGTTGATACATGTCATCGTTTCCCAATTGCGTGGATCGATGCTTATAATGTCAATCACTTGATTTTCTGGTCCAGACTCGATTATTTACAAACCGGCGTCATAGAGCTGGAATATAGCTGAGTGCGGCGTTAAACAACAAACAAACAAAAAGGGATAAATTGCATCCTATACTTTATCAATGAGGTGTTTCCCAGAGATGCAGGCATGGCAAGACGACTGCATGTGTCACAAAAATATTGTTCTGCAGTACATCGCACCAAGGGTCACTACTACTATTACTCCTACTCCTCCTACTACTACTACTACTATTTCTACTACAACTACTACTAGTGCTGAAAAATCTATCACCTTTTTCAGGAATTCTGTACCCCCGTACGTACGTGTCATGGGTTTTCGGACGCTTAAGAAACATTCGTGTTTTTTTCTCTAATCACAGGGACTGTAAAACATCTCACTCAGTCATAAATGACGACTTTATATTAAAAACAGGCCATCATCTAAATATTGACAATGTCTGTTCGGCGCGAGTAGTCGCGACAAACATGGCCGTCCGAAAACGTATGTCTCATAACATGTGATCCGTTGATCATCACTGATCACGACAATATAATGTTAGGACAAAACAACAAGCATACACAACAAAGTACACATGTACATAAATTATAATAGAAACGTAATTTCGAAACACACACCATTTGATACAATTATGAAACAATGGCTTTATATCTAGATTACTTCTTAATTTAAATAACGCCATTGACACTACATGACACCCGTCCAAATTTGACAGACACCAACTTGCCGCGCCCAGCAGAAGCTCCACACACTGTTGTTGAGTTTGACGCTGTACGGACATTAGCGGCGGGCGCGCTTAGTGAACGACCGGTAGATAAATCAGCTGACAGTTGCGCCGAGTTGCAAAAAATGATTCATAACGTTGATTTATACCATAATATCATAAAAAAACATGACATACATTGCATTAAAGTAGCGTATGGGGAACCCAGTGCAAGTTGTTGTGATATGATGACAAATTGTTCTCCGAATTGTCAGAGGGGATGTAGCTCAGATGGTAGAGCGCTCGCTTAGCATGCGAGAGGTACGGGGATCGATACCCCGCATCTCCATAAGTTTTTTCCTCCTATTTTTTGCGTTCTTTGTTGTGGAATATCGCTGTAATGTTAATAGTGTACATGCCATGTATAAACGTTAACTTTTGGCTAAATATTATCACAATGTCTGAATGTCGCATACCGAGAAAATGTTATAACATGATGAGCAGGGTAAGATAAATCGGCTTACATAGTTAAGAAAATGTATGTGTAAACTTGGCATGGCGATGTGTGTTTTTCCCCGTATGGAAACAAAACAATATTTCTAAAAATGTTTCAACAACGTTTGAGAGACAACTTTCAGCAAACATAGCATAGTGAACAACTCTCCTCCTAAAAATGCAACAATATTCACAATTCACAACTTTTATAAAGTTAAACCCGTCTGAAACACATGCCGTCAGTTAACTAAAAACTGCTCTTTCTAGATTTCGATTAAGCTGTCATCATCTAGAAATCGAACTTGGGCGGCATGCAAATATTCCACGAAATCTACGTTAATGTACGTTATGCAGCTTAAACTGTGTTGAAAAGGAATACCACTCTATATTTATCTGCCACGTGTTTGACAACTGAAGACAAACTTACATTAAAACCAAGTTCTATATCTATCCAAACTATCACAAATTCAACCTTCTTTTATCATCGCAAGATCCATCCTGACACGTACTGCAGCTAGTTTAGCCAGACCAAATAATAGATCTGTTATGTGGTCTCAGATTAAGCTAAATACATTTATAATGCTCATGCTGAAAGAAACGTATTATCCAATGTTTAACAACCTGTCTGTATGATTATATTCTGTAAACAAAGCCGTGTGACCTATACACAAAGTTCTGTGGCCTATACACAAAGTTCTGTGGCCTATACACAAAGTTCTGTGGCCTATACACAAAGTCCTGTGGCCTATACACAAAGTCCTGTGGCCTATACACAAAGTCCTGTGACCTATACACAAAGTTCTGTGGCCTATACACAAAGTCCTGTGGCCTATACACAAAGTCCTGTGGCCTACACACAAAGTTCTGTGGCCTATACACAAAGTCCTGTGGCCTACACACAAAGTTCTGTGGCCTACACACAAAGTCCTGTGGCCTTCACACAAAGTCCTGTGGCCTACACACAAAGTCCTGTGGCCTATACACAAAGTTCTGTGGCCTACACACAAAGTTCTGTGGCTTATACGTATTGAATATAAGAAATTGAAATTGAATAGAAATATTAGTAGTGTTTGTTATGACGTCTTAGTACAATGCGGAAATAAATATTAAAACAACCATCGATTTACAATTCATAAATCAGGTGTGAATGTTACACTGATGCAAGAGTTGAATTGGCGAAACTAACTTGTCACATTTCTTTAGAGTGACCCTTTTCAACAACACAGCGTTTATGCTATATGTACGTACACTTGTGGACTCATTTCTTATTTCAGAAGAAGATTGGATGTGTATGGTGTTTAATGTGGTATGAAGGTGGTTTAAAAGCATTCTTCAAACTTGTATTTCTTTAAATCAAACTTTTCAAACTTTTTGTTTCAAATTTCAAATACAAATGTTGCCTACCAGTTCCTAAAACACGTCATGGGGAAACATCTGGCCATTTCTATTCTTAACTAGAGATGTACATCAGTTTAAAGGGAGTTGTCATCAAGCCATTCCCTGGCCTGTCTTAACAAATACTAGATTTCGTGAGTCAATGCGACGGGCCTACATTGTATTGGCACATAGAGGGTACCCCCCTCCTTGTCCCCGGGTCCCCGGGCTTGGCGGCCTTGCTGACGTCAGTTTATCCTAATCAAAGATTCCCTTGAGATGAGTTTCAATAGATACGATCTGCAGTGTGTTAGATGTGGCTACCAGGGTTGGGACGTATCGGCACGCAACGACGTCAATGCCGACAACGTCTGCAGGTGCGGCGACACGCGTGTTTTGGAAGATTCAGCACTCGGAACCGTGGGTCACTGGGGGCTATGTCATGTCAGGGCTTTACGAAACAAGAGCAATTCCTACTGTCTGCAAATATGAATGTAAACACTTTAACGTGATCTGATTTGATTCATATACGACACACTCTACATACATCAAAAATGGCCCCAAGTATATTCTGTTTGTCGTGGAGCCGATTAGACGGAAGATGGGCGGTAACAATGTTGCAATGCACTCTGGGTGCCATCTTTCCCCGACATGGTGGCACGGTATTCGTGGGAATAACCACTTGATGAGACTGACATTTAGTCCCAGAAATAAAATTATCTTATTCAAAAATATATACACACGCACGCACAGGAGATCAACAATCTTGAAGGCAACTTTAAACCCCATTCCACCTCACCTCTCCGATACGGAGCAACTCACCAATGTTTCCTTACTGTCACAAAGTCGCATATCGAAAATAAACATTGCCGCGGAAAATAGCATATAATTCAGTATTTATTAACTCAATCATCAAACACAACTGTGGGTGTAAATCAACAACGTTAACCAGATTATGGTTCAATGTTTGACGGAGATCAATGTCTGGTGTGTCCACCATGTTGGGCGCTACATGCACGACACCGTGATGGCATACTGTTGATTAACTTGTGTATGGTTGCCCTTGGTATTGCCCTCCATTCAGCCTGAAGAGCTACCCCAAGCTGGGCCACGTTGGCGGGTGCTGGGTCTCTGGCACACACTCTCCGCCCGAGAACATCCCACAGATACTCTATTGAGAACATGTCAGGGGGCTTAGCGGGATAGTCCAATGTCCGTATGTCTTCTCATTGATAATCGGAGACAACCTGGGCATGAGGAGGCCTGGGATTGTCATCTCGCAGTTCGAAATTTCTGCCGATAATTCTAGCGAATAGAACGACATGACGCTAATGTTCGTCATTATATCGCTTGCCAGTCAAATATCCTTTCACACTAACCAAATCAGTCCATGTGTGATGCCTCCCCACACCACGAGACCGCCTCCATACCGATCATGGTCAAGAATGGTTGCTCTGGCATACCGCTCGCCGCTACGTCGCCAAAAACGTTTTCTGCCATCTGTGAATCGGCGGCAAAACCTTGATTCGACTGTAAACAATAAACATGATGTAACGCCATTGACGCACAGCCCGTCCCTGGTATTGTCAAGCCCACCTCAATCCTTGTCGCTTGTGGTCAGCTGGTCACAGGACGCGTTTTTCATGTGGGCTGCATAGAGCCGGATTTCAACGGTAGATGTTGAAATTCGCCTTCCTGTTATTGTACAAAATTCACTATTTATAAGAGGAGCCGATATGAATATATTGCGTAGTCCATTTAATGTAATGAGACAATCTTGTCTCGGTGTCGTTTTTAGGCCTGCCAAGGTCTTAGTGCAACCCCACCCGTTTGAGGCTATACCTTCATACAGTCGAGAAACTATATTTTTTTATTTGCCCACAAATCGGGCAACTTGGGATAGTGTCTCAGAGGCATTTTTAGCTTGGCTTAGCTCACTTGCAACAGTGATTGTGAGTTCCCCTGCTGGCGCACACACGTTGGCTTCTGTGTGCACGTGCATCACGTGCTGTTCATGCGTGATGTGAAATTCCATTATGATTAGCTGTTGCGTTCAGATGCAGTGCCACGGTATTGTAAGTGTACACCTCAACGATAGCTACATTCAAATCATTAGTTCCCTTATTTATTGTCGGCAGTATATATATTGTCATCATATCACAAAACACTTGCACTGGGTTCCCCATACGCTACTTTAATGCAGTGTATGTCATGTTTTTTATGATATTATTTTATAAATCATTTCAATCATTAAGTTGGGGACAAGTGGTACTTGTAAAAATATTTGCCCCCCTCTGTCAAACAAAGTTAACTACGGCCTTGGGTCTTCAGCAACCCATGCTTGCCGTAAATGGCGACTAACGGGATCTGGTGGTCAGGCTCGCTGACTTGGTTGATGCATGTCATCGATCCCAATTGCGTGGATCAGTGGACATTATGTCAATTACTGGATTGTCTGGTCCAGACTCGATTATTTACAGAATGCGGCGTTAAACAACAAACAAACAAACAAACCATCCCGGAACACACTCGCGGGATAACCTCTCTGTTTATAGGCTGTTGTGCCATCAGTATTCAGCACGTCTACGCAACAACCAATTCAGTTTTGGGTAATAATGTTCTTGACCATGCGTCACCGCACACGAGATGGATTCTAAGTCTCGGCAAGGACGATACATTACTCGCGCGTAGATCCAGATTTACAGACCTCCGTCATATAGCTAAAGTATTGCTTTGTGCTTCGTTAAACAAAAAACAAATGATAATCATATATGCACCCGTGGAGAAGATGCATTTCTAACCAAATCGGCAACAACATTTCAGGACGAGCACGTGCATATAAATTATGAAAATATAAACGTTCACCACCTTCAGAATACGTCGGCGAAGGCTTTCACTTGAACGAGGTGTCAAACCGATTACATACCCTACGGCTGAATATTAAAATTTAATATTCGAAGTCTGCTAAAAAAGTATAATGTTTCTCGGGCATTTGTGTTTGAAACTGATAACAGTATATCTTGCAATTATTATATTTTTTAAACGAGGGAAGTCAAAGATTTATGTTAGTTTTTTCTCAACTGAAATTAAAAAATAAGCTGCTTGGTCTTCCGTAGTTACTAAGAGGCTTCTGTCTCCAGCGCCCGTTGAGGTACATATGACGTCCGCGAACAGATGACAGAAACATTTATTACATGTATACCATGCATGGAATGACTGTTTGTTTGTCACAGTGAGCAACTATTCTAGCTATACCCCTTCGGCCTGTAAATAATCGAATCTGACTAGACACACCAATGATTCATATCATGAGCAACTTGCAACGCCTCCAAGCATTAGTTGCAGTAAAACCATAGTAATTAGAATTCCCGGATCGTTGAAACATACATACCGTGAACTACGTTTATAACGAACACGCTTATAACGAACTGACGGATATAACGAAGTTAGTTTGCTGTATATAGGCTGTATATATACTTATAACGAACTTCGGTTGTAACGAACTAATAAATTGTGGTCCCTTTGAGTTCGTTATAACCGTAGCTTACTGTATTTTAAAAGAAAACAGAAGAGTCTTATTTACCCATCTGGACGTCAAACCAGTCAAAGAGTGAAAGAGACCACTCATATCGCCTCATTTGTTTCGTTTTAAGACATATGTATAGAGATTCAGGTGAGGTGAAATGGGGTTTAACGTCGCGTCCAAGATTATTGCACTTATATAGCGACGTGCACGCACGTGTGTGTGTATGTGTGGCTGTTTTTTTTTACCAATGTTCATATTTTCTCAATAATTTTGAAAATATTAAAAAACTCATACGCACACTGAGTGTGACTTATGTGTTTATTTTTCTATTTTATGTCTGCTAACGTAGTTGATGGTCTTACCACATACTTTATCAGGGATGGGTTTATGTCCTAGTCAAGCAACCGCTGTCTAAAAACAATAATCGTAACATAAATACCACGTGTAAACACAACCATACAATGCTAACTTTCGTCTCCAACTATTACCGTTCTGATTAAACCAAAATCATCATTATCTAAATGAATAATATTATTTAATGTGGGAAGAGTGCATCTGTTTTATCCGTCCATAGAAATTACGCCTGTTTGTGTAACCCTTACCTTTAATATGAATCATACATTTGTATCGCCATCATCATCATTTAAAAACATTTAAGTCATTCCCATGAGATAAAATGTCCATACTTTGTTTCCAGTGGGATCAGATTTGGAACAATCCTACATATTTTATCAATGACGACTCCCTATTAAGAAATTATGAGAAACCACTTACACAAAAAGACATGGTTTTTCGCCGCGATGCATTGTGGATCTGAATTTGCCTCAAGCCAGGCATTAAGCCGGTCGAGCGTGAAAAGACGGCATATAAAACGTCAGTCTGCCCTTGTACCAATATTACCAAGAGAAACCTCCATCCTAAAACTGCCGCTTGATGCGAAACGCTGTATACATTCCGAAAACGTGAAACTATGTCCTAGGACCTTCCCCATCTGTCGACAAGGCTGCTTGTAGTCATAAGTTTCCATCAGGATTTATGACGTATATCTTGTTTATATCACGTGTATCCTGGACGTGTGTATAAGTAAACACTTCTACTTGTATGCGTACGCACTTGTCACCACACAAGTAGCAACAGAGTCGACCGCAACTACCGCCGAACATGAAGAAAACTACAGCATCTCAAGGCAGATAATTGATTCCGTGGATCACTATTGAGTACTAAGATCAATAATTTTCATCGTTATTAATCTCAACGGTGATATCCCCTCCACGAAGTCAAGAACTGTTCAACTTATTCCTGCATGTCGTGTGAATACTATTATTTTGGAACTGCATCACCTGTAATTAACTTTCTTTCATCTGGTTGCTGATGGGAACAGGTGAGAAACTTGTCCTGATGAGGACGACCAAGGGCCAGCCGATTTACTACCTGCAGAAAGATGGCGTGCTGTATCCCCCTCTGCCAGACTACAGCACACACTTAAAGAATGTCAAGAACTTCCGTTGTCAGCCTGACGATGTCTGGATCTGCGGATACCCCAAGTCAGGTACGTGATTTACCTCGAGATTTAACTACAGTAGCGCACGATACTTATACTGTCAGTCAATCTTTGCTCACAGTATAAGCTTGTATTATATTTCAATTATTATATGATATCATAGCGTAACTGACAGTGTTACTATTAAAAGTAGAAAGTTTCCGGGGCCTTAATAGATGCATGGTAGATATGTATGGTATATATACATGGTATAGACGTGGATGGTAGACATGCATGGTAGATATGCATGGTATAGACGTGGATGGTAGACATACATGGTAGATATGCATGTTATAGACGTGGATGGTAGATATACATGGTAGATATGCATGGTATAGACGTGGATGGTAGATATACATAGTATAGACGTGGATGTAGATATGCATGGTAGATATGCATGGTATAGACGTGGATGGTAGACATACATGGTAGACATACATGGTATAGACGTGGATGGCAGATATGCATGGTAGATATACATGGTATAGACGTAGATGGTAGATATACATGGTATAGACGTGGATGGTAGATATACATGGTATAGACGTGGATGAAGATATGCATGGTATAGACGTGGATGGTAGATATACATGGTATAGACGTGGATGTAGATATGCATGGTAGTTATGCATGGTATAGACGTGGATTGTAGACATACATGGTATAGACGTGGGTGGTAGATATGCATGGTAGATATACATGGTATAGACGTGGGTGGTAGGTATGCATGGTAGACATACATGGTATAGATGGGGGTGGTAGATATGCATGGTAGACATACATGGTATAGACGTGGGTGGTAGATATGCATGGTAGATATACATGGTATAGACGTGGGTGGTAGATATGCATGGTGTAGACGTGGATGGTAGATATACATGGTATAGACGTCGATGGTAGACATGCATGGTAGATATGCATGATATAGACGTGGATCGTAAATATGCATGGTATAGACGTGGATGGTAGATATGCATTGTTGATATACATGGTATAGACGTGGATGGTAGATATGCATGGTAGATATACATGGTACATACGTGGATGGTAGATAAACATGTTAACGACGTGGATGGTAGATATGCATTGTAGATATACATGGTACATACGTGGATGGTAGATATGCATGGGTATAGACGTTGATGGTAGATATGCATGGTAGATATACAAGGTATAGACGTGGATGGTAGATATGCATGGTAGATGTACATGGTATAGACGTGGATGGTAGATATGAATGATAGATAAACATAGTATAGACGTGGATGGTAGATATGCATGGGAGATATACAGGGCATAGACGTGGATGATAGATTTGCATGGTAGATGTACATGGTATAGACGTGGATTGTAGATATGCATGGTAGATATACATAGTATAGACGTCGATGGTAGATATGCATGGTAGATATAGATAGTATAGAGGCGGATGGTAGATATGCATGGTAGATATACATGGTATAGACGTGGATGGTAGATATGCATGGTAGATATACATGGTATAGACGTGGATGGTAGATATGCATTGTAGATGTACATGGTATAGACGTATAATTGTAGGTGTAATACATATGCTTGGACCGGTTTCTACACCACCCCCTGCATATCTTGCCCATTAAGGAGTGAACGCATAGCTTTGACAATCCTAACAAAGTGAGTCTTGTTGGCCTATATTTATTAAGCACCGTGATGCATCCTAACTTGCTTAAGTAGAAGAATTATAATCATGATGAGTAATAATAATGTTATATCCTGGGCATGACATCACCACAGGAGAGAGTGCAGGAGAGAGTGCAACGCCAGTGGGTCAAGTATATGTTTATTACAACCCAAGGCACACTCCTTTAAATTTACGGGTCGTCACAACTCTTACATGACGCTATATACCGGGACACTGTGTACACTCCGCCATGCATAAATTAAAACACATAATACTCACTACACCAGATTGTGCAGAGTATCGTAAGGATTTGTTTAATGCGGTGGACATTTCCAATTTGTGAATTTGCGACTAAAAAGTATCTATGCATATATACCATAGCAGAGGAACGACCGTCTAATTATTCTGAATATTTACATATGTAGCATGTAAAACACAGTTGCGTGTAAAACAATACGACGTTGTTATAGAGAATAACTGTGGTCTTAAACAGTCTCCTTGTCTGACCCCACTGTCAGCCGCGGTACACCACGGGCATGTTGGAAGACAAAGGAGGGACTCCCTACATGAAGCATACATGTGGATTGAGATAGATGGGGCAAGTGTAGGGATTGTTTACAGCTACAGAATTGTGTAGTATACTCGTGCTGCGATAGAACATGGGGTGCGACTATCACGACCATGGCGTGTGTGTCTTGCCTGTGTTCAAAGAATTGATAGCCAAACCAGGATCAAACGTCATAGAAACGCTTAAAACATGACTAGTGGTATACAGCCGTGTTGCAGTGTGCTGGAAATGAACACATGCTTTCACGATATGTCAGTTAACCGGCATGCTTGTCAGTGTCATGTTAGCAAACTCTGTAAAAAGACGTGTTTCTCTGATTATTCAAGGCCCTGACGTCATCAGAGCTATATATATATAGACTTCGTGCATTTACAGACAGACCGATCGATCATTGAAATTTGTCCTTCACTGTCAAAGTGTCCGATTGGTCAAAACAAACACTCAAAACTTTGAGTACTGGAGGATTTACAAATAGGTGATACAAATGTATGATTCTTATTATAAGTAAGTTCTAAACAACAGGCGTCTTTTCTATGGACGGAAATAACAGATGCACTCTTCCCAAAGTAAATAATATTCATTCTTGTTCCTTAAAGAGGTAAACGCTATATCATTGAATGACTTTTTAGAAGATGGGTGCCAGAAGTGGTCACCAACAGATGATTGACGTAAAGGTCGAAACTAACGGCGTCATTGGCAGCGTGTAACCAGGCTGGAGGTGATATTGTAATTTGGCGGATCCTGCTATCAACCACTGGTTTGCTTGGCCAAGAAATAGTTCTTTACAAGTCATCCGAAATATTCTTGACCGTCGAGTAAAACATTCATTACCTGACTGACACGGTTGCTGCTGGTTACCGTATTCGTCGTATTATGCGCCCCCTGACCAATTGGTAGCCTGTGTATTTACATGTCAGTCTGTATTTACTCGTGTGTAGCGCATACTTCTTATAGGAAACAGCAGCGTAAAAGGGGAATAGAATTACCAAGAAACTATTATAAAAAGAAATGTTTTAGTTTCATGAGCTAACTTTGTTCAGTACTGGTCGGTCATTCACAGGAAATTTAACCTACACATTAATACGTTCGAAATATCTATAAAAGGGTCCTCAATCCTGGCCTGGTATTACAAGGACTGTAACAACCGAGAAACGAAAATATTTCACGTGTTGCAATAAATTGATGCTTCTCACAGGCAGAGTCTTTGATCTAGCAAAACCTCGCCAGTCCGGACCCCGCTGAAATGGAAGCCTCGCTTTTAGAACGATTCTGTTAGAAACGCACAAACTGCATATAGAAGATTGGTTAAACTTGCTCTTCAGCAACCCATGTTTGTCGTAAGAGGCGACTAATGGGATCGATAGGTCAGGCTCGCTGACTTTGTTGATGCATGTCATCGTATCCCAATTGCGTAACATTATTCTCAGTATGTCAAGGACTAGATTGTATTGTCGATACTGGACTATTTACGGACCGCCGAAATATGGTTGAAACAAAGGTGAATATATACAAAGGAAAGTGGTTCTTATTCTGGATGTTCGTTCAGACGTTTTCCCTTGGAACGATAACGTCCTGATTAACTATGTCTCGCTGTATTAGGATATTTTCAAATAATTTCTAGTTTAGTCCGATTTGATCCAGGCTTCGAGAGTAATCACACATCAAATTGCGTCACGTGTGTATGCTCCCTCCTTGCTTATCATTAATACACTGAGCTTAAAGGGCAAGTTCACACGGAAATTAACCTATTTTTCTTGTACTTTTTCCACATTAAAAGTGTTAACCTAGAAGTGTCATAGACAAAAATATAAAAATATCACAATTAATTAACATATTTTTCGCATTAAAACGATTTATATTTTTCACATTTACCAAGTGTTCTATTTCCACAACAAAAACACCATGGCTTATGCCCCTTGCAATATGACGTCATTGGTGCCAACAGATAAACATTATGACGTCATCATGCTTTGTTAGAGCCGCTTCACGTGGTGTAGGTCTAGGTGTGTGATTCTAGCGTCTCAGATGCCAGCCAGCATAGTGTTATGCTGAGTCACTACTGCGCCGGAGTGTGTCGTAGGCCATGTTGTTTTACCGCAAACTGGTACTTGATATCTTTTGCGTTGAGAATAGACAGGGACCCAGTTGAATTGGCACCAATTACGTCATAATCTAAGGGGGATAACTCAGGCCTGTTTAGCTCGAAAAACGAAGGCCTCATAACGGCATATCATTTTCACACTATTGTGAGCTTCCTACTTTCACTGTGAAAAAAATGAGTGTATATTTTCAAACACAGATACTAATTAATTCTAAAATTGCGTTTTGTTTAGAAAAAGAAAGAAAGTGATTTTTGCGTGTACACTTCCCCTTTAACATTGATATTTAATAGTGACCTTGACCTTGCAGGAAACCACTGGATATGGGAAGTGGTTCAGATGATCCTGAAGGGCAAGGCCGAGTTCGCCACGGAGTTCATGGAGAAGTTTCTCGTTGACTTTGAGAGTCTAGACTCTCCTTTCTTGATGTCCAAATCTCGTCGAATTCTCGTGTCGCATCTTCCCCGCAAGCACGTCCCCTATTCCATGTTCCAGAAAGGCATCAAAATTATTTATGTCGTCAGAAATCCAAAAGATGTAGCTGTGTCCGCCTACAACCACCTCTCCTCTGTCACCGAGGACTTCCGCCAGATTTCCTTCAGCGAGTATCTCGCCCTCCAGCTTCAAGGCAAAGGTAAGCGACTGAAAGGCTCACATTTGTTTGTTTTGTCTTTTATTTGTTTGTTTGTTGTTTAACGCCGCACTCAGCAATATTCCAGCTATATGACGGCGGTCTGTAAATAATCGAGTCTGGACCAGACAATCCAGTGATTGACGTCATGGGCATCGATCTTCGCAATTGGGATACGATGCTATGCATCAACCAAGTCAGTAAGCATGACCACCCGATCCCGTTAGTCGCCTCTTACGGCAGCATGGGTTGCTGAAGACCTATTCTACCCAGGATCTTCACGGGTCGGGCTCACATTTAATCCAGGGGCCAAAGAACATGGTCAGGACACTCTTTGGTCCATTGGAAATGGCATATAATGAAGTAGCAGACAGATGTAAAATGTTATTGTCGACTCATGTATGTTTACATCATTTGCAAGTTTTGTACTTTTGAATTATGACATAATCGAATACAGTAAGGCCAATGTAAGTGGAAAAGGTCGATGAGTGTCGAAATCTTTGACTCAAAATGAACTTTTTAACATTTGAAGTTCTGATTTGACCTACGTGTGCAAGGTGACAATCGTCTCAGGGCAAAGACTTAGGTTCAAATATCAGAAGAAGCCCTCATACTTTGTTATCGTGTGAGGTGCTTATCTGAGTCAGTCTTCACAAGCGCCGATATTTGTATCTCCTTCTAAGAGGTAGTTGCTAATTAATGCCGCATAGAAAAGGTAGAATCACAAAAATTAATGTTCATTTGGTCTTGTAAGGAGAGAAAATATTCCTTCTTTCAGTGTATTACGGGGACTGGTATGACCACGTGACCGGATGGACCCAAGCTGCCCTCGCAAATCCAAACATCTTAATAGTGAAATATGAAGATATGAAAAGGGTAAGAGTCTTATCACCTCAGTGTGTATGTGGAAACTGAACTTTTAAGTCACTTTACTCCCTTGACTCGGGAAGATGCTCATGACTATAAAAGTCCAGTTTCCACCCTTGCCGAACTAGGCTGGAGTTATGGAGTTATATTTTGGCTGGACTAACGAGTCTAAGCATATCACAATATACATTTTGATTATCGATCAGATCGTTGACTGGGCGCCGCCATTTTATTTCAAGCATATGCAAGTGATTCAGGTGGAATCTGGTTGGTCAATAGGAGGGACATTGAAGGGACATAACTACTGGTTACGCTACGATCGAGCCTATAAATTTCAGCCTTGTTCAGAAAACGCTCAAAAACACCTTAACGAATACAGCTATATGACGGTATATAACCGAGTCTGGACCCCCTCAGGATCCGGATACGATGACTTGCAAAAGCCAAGTCACTGAGTCTGACCATCCGATCCCGTTAGTCGCCGCTTACACTTCTAACCCGGATCTTCATAGGTTGCAATTCCGTCGTCTCTTCATTACGACAGCAGTAGGGTGCCTAGGGTCACATTCCACCCCGGGGCTCCACTGAGGTACATTAAGTCACACATTATACTTAACCGCGGTTACCGTTCCATAGCCGCTCATCTGTTCACCGTTTTCTTTTATCAGCTGTTCTATAGGGGAACTGTGGGTCTACGGATCCACCTGTTAAAAACACGTGGCATTGTGCGCTATACGATTTAGAGCGCACTCCCACACCCTCGATTCGCTTCAGATATATTTATAAAAAATCTATCTTCCTTTCTCATAGTACGTATCACTAGGCCAATGTCACCCCCAACCCCCAAAAAAACAAAAAATTAAATATAACAAAAAACAAAAAACACACACCGATTTTATAGGCTCGAACGAAAAAATATTCAAGACCATAAACAGACCGTAATATTGTTTTCAATATGCTCAACAACTTGTGAGATGAACATCACATCGAAGCTTGGGACACACAGACAATGAGTCTTAAAAACGTCTTAAAAACTTACTCATGTCTTGAAAAAGTAAGAGAGTGCAAACATGTTGAAACATAAAAAGGTAAACCTATTGTGTGTTTAAAACGAACATGAACCGGATATGATTACTTCCTATGTGTCAACCGGCCAATCACTAACGCATATGAGACACTAAGACAACTATTATGGTCCGCAGGCATGACGGGTTTTTTCCGGTTTACATGCAATCATGTTCATTTCATCTCAGATAGATTTTATCACAGTCGTTGATGTCACGTTATCTTTCTGCGAGGCAATGTGATGACTTGCGGTAATAGAATCATCATACTACATAGTATTGCTTATTCACGATGATACAAAACTATACTGAAGAACAACCACGTGGGAGAATGACATTAACGCACTTAAATGTTTGACGTCACGTGTCGATCTATTTATATTACGGCTTCAGACATGTAGGCAAACAAACATGACGCGCCGGTGATATAGCAACACGAACTGTTATTTTGGTTCGATGCATTTTTATGACAATAGATTTCTTTATGAAACAAATAGAATGCCCTTGAAAATGTTTCATATATATTTTTGACAACCTCAATTTTAATACTTTAGCCCAAAGGCGATATAGCTCAGAAATGCTGACCCTAATGAATATTAATTCATATTTAAACAGTTATGCATGCAAATCTTTGGAGACAACTACATCGCTATTTATGTTTATTTTAGCAATTTAGCAATTTGATATAATTTAAATTCAACCATGCAGTTAATAATTTAGTTTACTTTAATTCTATCTTCTCACATTCAGCTAACAGTATAACAAATAAGCGAGTGAGTATTATTTTACGCCGCTTTTAGTAATATCCCAGCAATATCACGGCTTCACACATTGTACCCATGTCGAGCGAACACTTTAACCACTAGGCTTCCCCACATTACCTATTGGATGTTGACGTTGGTAGTTCTCCCGTGTACATCACTCTGTCGTGTTATTTACAATAAGTTATTTTATGAAATGAGCTAAGATGGTCATCCGCTGCCATGAAAAATTCAACAACTGCACCAAAATACAATAACGCGTGGCCGCATTCTTACAGTGTCAACCCAAAGGACTTAAAGCAAATGTATTTTTTAAAGAAAATCCAGGGTAGATGCGGGCCTCCATATTGAATCTTAATTAAATGCCTTGAGTAATGTTGACGCCCTCATATTCTCATCGAAAGGAAATAGACCAATTTTACCATTGCTGCCGTGTTGTGTCCTGTCAGGAACGTCACGTCAAGTGTTATAGATGTGCAGCGGATGATGTCATCGGTAACCTTGGTATTGGCGGGTAAATATTCATATGTGTTGTCTTGTGTTGTTTCAGGACTTATACAGAGAAGTGAGGCGGGTGGCGGGCTTTCTTCGCCAGAACCCGGGGGAGCAGACGATAGAGAACATCGCGACCGCTTGCACCTTTGAAAACATGAAAGGAAAGAAAACAGAGTGTAAAGACAAATGGAGAGAAGACGGTCTCATCAGCTCCGTGTACAGAAAAGGTAGGTACCAACACGTACGTCTTATCAGCTACGCGTATAGAAAAAGTATGTACCAACATGTCACTTTTTAACATGGATACACCAGTCAGACTGATTACACTGACTCCGAGCCGACCAGTCCTTGTTTTACCATCTAAATGCCCGTCTCCAGACATGATATCAGATACCATATATGAACTTAATTTGTTTTGACGCAGCCAGGGAATCAAACTACCAACAGATGCTCTATATTTCCATTAGTCGGCCTTTCTAGTTAGGAAGGACCGACATGTTATTTCACGCCCTCTGATCTATTGGAAATATAAAATAAAAAAATAAGTAGCGATATTAGAAAAGTTACAAGCAAACTTCGGAAAGAAGCCTCCTGAATTTGACATAAAATGCTGTAGCTATTGACTTGACATTGAGGGGCGGTCGGGTAGCCTAGTGTTTAAAGCGTTCGCTCGTCACGCCGAAGACCCGGGTTCGATTCCCGACATGGGTACAATGTGCGAAACCCATTTCAGATGTCCCCTGACGTGATATTGCTGCAATATTGCTAAAAGCGGCGTAAAACCATACTCACTCACTTGACATTGTCTTGTAACAGAATGGGTGGTACAGTTGAACAATTCCCATTATCGCTCGTCCGTCGCCATTTTTCGTGAGTAGACGCTGTACATCAGCTCAGGTAAACATTTGTTTAGATGATTATGCCCAACAGCAGAGCATTGCCCATTCCGATACAAAACAGTTTATGGTTTCAAACTGATCAATATTTCAGCCATTGACAAACAATTTTCAAAGCCCTCGTACATGATGTCCAACAAGAATGTAGAATGTTGTAAAATCATGGACATGTCTTTAAGTCTATCTGCCTCTTGAGATCCTCTGTATTCAAAGTAGCACCTGCTGTTCCCTCGTCATGAAAGTGTCTAGTTCTGTGGTTGATGATGTGGTTAAAGTGTAGTGCCATACCTCCATTACAAAGACAAGGGATGTAATGCTGGAACTGTATACTGCCTCTATTTAAGAAAGGTGACAGATCTAACCCGGCTAATTACAGACCTATTTCACTTCTGTCATGCCCAGGAAACACATTTGAAAGACTATTTTTGAAAAGAATGCACAACTATTACATGGATAAGAATCTATTAAATAAATACCAGTCATCCTTTCCACAACTTTCCCATATGTAAATCGCTTGACGATTGTGAATTTTCTTCGGCATGATTGTTTGTGACGCGTCAAAAGCTTTCTAGTGTTGCACGGGGTTATTTTACATAAGTTGAACCCAAGTTGTTGTTTTTTACGTCAAAGTGTTTTCTTGGTTTGGGAGCTGTTTAACAGAAAGGAAACAGAAAATTCTTGATAATGGGTAAACTTCATCAGATAGAGCTGGCGTTCACCAGGGATCAGTTCTTGGCCCATTTTTCTATTTAGTATATTAAAAAGACATCTCAGATATTACTAGACTCTTTGTCGATGACACATGTATAAAATCGTAAGTGAATAACTTATGTCCAATCCTCAATAAAATGTTGACACCTGCGATGACAGAACGAGTCACCCCTTCCTGTTGGGTGTCACGGGCGCTTTCAAGTGCCTTTTCCCACCCCTGGTAAGTTCAGATCACATCAAATAACCTTACATAACCCCACACCGTGTAATTAATCCGTTTCCGATTGACATACAGTTGTCAGTGTATTAACTTGTTTGATTTCTTGTCAGTGAGGAAAATGCATTAATATTTTATATAATTTGTGGATGGAAAAAATGGGGCATCAATCAAATGTTCCTCACACGAATGTCTGTGCAGTGTTCCGTCAGGGGATCGATCATGCATGGGTTCCTCAATGAATGTATACACCAAGAAAAGAATATGCACCGCTTACTATATTTCAATATATATTCTACCATGAACTTGAAAATTGCCCGATTCTGATATGTCAATCAGTGGTTATCAAATCACAATAAACCCCCTCTGATTGAACATTTGAAACCTGAAGTTGCGCGTTTGGTTTCAAATTCAATTTAGCACGTTTACATCTACAGTATGTTATCTTCCAAGTATCCATGATATACACAGCCGGGCAAAAGAAAGTATACACCCATGTTTGATGGTAGCTAACATTAAACAGACAAGTAATTCGATTGTGTATTTGATACGGATGCATAATTTTGTTTTGGCCCTTGGGGTTGCAGCGTTTCGGAGACTGTTTTCAGATTTTGTTTGTAGTTGCTCGGTCAAATTCAATTTTCAAGTGTATACTTTCCTTTCACAAACGGTGACTTTGGTCATGTGTTATGAGAGGGGTACCGTTGATACCTAACGGGAATACATTGATGATAACCGGCGTATTTCAACTACAGGACACTTGTAAATTTCTCGTCACTTCAGGGTTTCCTCGACCCAGCCTCGATAACACCCGAACTAAACCCGCATACCTTCACTCGTTGTAAATGAGGTCCCTGATTTATTTTCAAGTCGAGCTATTTTAGTTTGTGGTGAGCCGAAATGGGATATAACGTCGCGTTCGAGATTATTGCACTTCTATTGGGACGTGCATGCACATGTGTGTGTGTGTGTGTGTGTGTGTGTGTGTGTGTGTGGCGGGCGCTACCGGTAGAGCAGGGCATTCTTACATTTACTTCAACACCTGGGCCCACTTGCACAAAGCAATCTTAGTACTACGACTATTGTAAGTCTATGTTAAAGTATGGGAGTCACGATCATCTTAGCGCTAAGATCGCTTTGTGAGAGTGTGCCCTGGTGTCATCACTAATATTCTTTCTCACTGTAACTTTCACCGCTAGTTTGCCTTTTAAGCCCAATGGAATCTGATGCGGCGGATAATCGAGACTGGTTATTTTCTGGCGTTGAGTTTATTTGAATGACATGAAGCAAACTTGCAAGGGTTGTCAATTTGCACGACCTGAGACCCCCAGACATTGTAATCGCTCATTTAGATGTACGTTTTAACGAGGAAGTACGCGAACATGTATAATATCTACAGCGAAAGGAAGTAGGCCGTGGCAATTCATCATGTTGAGCCATGCAATTATGACAATGATCTCACAGTCACATTTTATGACTGATGCTCTTGAATTATAGCATTCAATTAGAAGCCAGTTAAATGTATGTTTTCATGCCCGAGTCCTACAAGGCTGTAACGTGTGAGTCATGGAGATTATTTCCAGTGTCTCGTGAAATATCATGTTTCTTTCATCGGGTGAGGGGAGGGAGGGATGAGATTTCACCTTTTACCCCGTTACGAGATGAGAGAAACGACATTTCACGAGACACATGGAATATCCTATTTATTATATACTTTTTCTGTAGTTGTCTATCAGAAAATTAAATTATTTCATTACAAACCGCAAAACCTTGAAACGTAAATTCTCCCTACCCAACACCAAATACCTGCCTGCCCGACCGTCCGAGACGGGTTGATTTCAACTCGGGCTGCCAGATTTTCAAATCCCCCTGCCCGACGGTCGGGTTATATTTCATATGTGACAATATTCTAAATATTTCCCGATGATAATCATTAATTCACATGTAAAGATGAATGATAAAATGTAACCAAAAAGAAACCCCGTTAGCTTATCCTGAGAAACATATGATTATAGTGGGCAGGCAGGTTTTGGTCAGGGCTGGCAAGTATTTCAGCTAGCCAGTCCTGTGGTCTGGCTGAAATTTTTGGGAGTTTCATACCCTGCCAACACACAGCGAATAAAAATGTAGATCTAGTTTCGTGTTTGCAAAATCTTAAAATATAGAAACAAAGGAAACAAAAATATGCAGGGTCACGAAAATTCTGTCTCATACTTATAGATACATACAAAATAAACTTTAATAAAAAATATTCTTGAAAACTACGAGACCGCTGTTGGAAACGAAAGAATACAAGCTGGTCTAGTTACAAAAATGGCGATTTGCAAAACGAACACTCGATTGAGGAGTAAAATGAGAAATTTACGGTTAATAACGAAACATTTTCAAGAACATAACAAACGGCATGAAGCGATATTAACACCATAAATGACCATCTGTCCTCATTTTGCCTTGTCAATGTGAAACTAACGTAAAAAGCAAGTAAACAGTTTGTGTACGGGCCAGACACTTACGATAAAGGGAGACAATTTGAGGGGAGGTCACTCTTGTATGACAATAGTTAATGTCAAAGTGACTCACTCTCATCCATAAGGTATGGCAGAAACCAGTGATCGTGGGTTCGAGTTTCAGATACGCCCTGATTGTTTTTTCTTTGTCAGCACCATACCCTCGTGGTTTTCAAAAATTCGAAACTTCTTGAAAAAATAATTATGCTTCAGCCTGTTGCAAAGGTAAGAAATTGCCTGCCACAAATTTGTTGCAAGGTGTTTTTCTCTTTTTTTAAAATCAGGCTCATAGGTTTAAGTAAAAACATGTTTGGTTTTGTATTTGTAGCTGAAAAAATGGCTCATGAACGTCGACACAAAATCTAAATCGATGCTCACGATGTCCAGACTCGATTATTTACAGACCGCCATCATATTACTGGAATAGTGTTGAGTGCGACGTTAAACGACAAGCAAACAAACAAACAACATGTTCAACTGATTTGCATCTGCAGGGCCCCAGATACCTTTTTGAGCCAGTGAGTGTTTACTCACAAATCATCATTCACATTGAGTATTGATAATATTCTTTGGGTATTCAATGTTTTTACTCATCTTTTCGAGGCAAAGGAGTCAACTGACTGTCAAAGTCCAGTTTCCACCCTTGCCGAACTAGGCTGCAATAATGGAGTTACATTTTGGCTGGACTAACGAGTCTATGTATAGTCCAATCAAAATCGCGTAACGAAATCGACATCTAGTTCGTAAACAACATGCAGATTTCGGTCGACTGCAGGATTTGCGAAAAATGTTTACCGTCAACTGGGCGTCGAAACATAACTTCCAAATCTTTTCATGGTTTAATCAAGGTGCTCACGTGATTTGGCGCACTTCTCGAAGTAAGACCCGTTTTATTACAACATATATCTTGAATATCGATCTGATCGTCTTGACTGAAAGCCACAATTTTATTTGATGCAAATGCAAGTGATATGAGGGGTGGAATCAGATTGGTCAACAGGAGGTTGGTTGGTTGGTTTGTTGTTTAATGCCGCACTCAGCAAAATTCCAGCTATAGACGGCGGTCTGTAAATAATCGAGTCTGGACCAGACAATCCAGTGATTAATATCATGAGGCTCAATAGGAGGAACATAGAAGGGACATAACTTGTAAAAGCCACTGGTGCCGCTACGATTGAGCCCAGAAATTCAAGCCACGTTCGGCGAGGGCGGAAAATGGACTTTTAGAGTCAGTAAACTCCCTTGCCTCGGGAAGATGATTTTTACTCCCTTTTGACACCAGTGAATGAATATTTTAAATAATAATTTAGCTTAAAATGTTGTTTTATGTGAAAAAGTCTAAATTATGTGGCGTATTGAAGATAATGGTTATTATTAAGATGTATTACGATACATCTGGGTGTACCTACTAAAAGTGAAGATCGGAAAATATCGTTCAAATATTATCATAAAAATGTATAACAAGTTATAAAAAACAAGACGTTCCATGTTGTAGAAAGGGGTTTATTGTACACAGATGCACTGACAGTACTGGAATAGAAACAAACCAAAAAGACCGGTGCGCAAACTTCAGTGCACTAGTTATATATGTCTGTCGCCTAGTCAGCTTTTTCCATGTCGCAACAAATGAAATATGTCATACAGTTAAAAACTAAAACAAATAACTCATTATACGACTTCCGTCACAGAGATGACAGGCCGCCATATTTGACGTTCGGCGATTGGCATTTCAGACACATGTCACACATGCCCCCAATCAGCTGTTTTCTTCAGCATTGAAACTTGATGAATTGACTGTTAAGTTCATAAACCTGCCAGTTACATATTATAGCTTTGAAAGTAATTAAACAGAATATTGTTTTTTTCAGAAGAAACAATTCATCTTCAGTCTTTTGTGTTCCGCCTTTTCGCTTCATTAATCAAACAAGCATAGACTCTTTTTCTCTTAAGTATTCGACCAATTTTATCCATGTCCTTTTTAACCCTAAATAGTTTACTTAATGACGTTTTCCCTTTATGGCCTTGCAACAAATACAACAATAACATAGCGTTGATGGATGGAGCTGGTGCTGACACCTGTAGCCTGTCAGTGGCAACGGGAACACGCCTAAATCTACAGTTTCATCAACCATGTTATGAAGGAGACAATGTGGGGTGATTATGTCTGTCCCTGGGATGAAAGGAACGTATTGTCTATATGCACTGAAACTGTCAAAGGCACCGTAAACACAGTTTTCATAGTCGAGCAGACAGACGTAAGAGGTCGCTCGAAGCGGTTTTTACATTCCGCGAATTCAACTTAACACATTCCGCGTAAGCCGCCATGGCATTTTTTGACCCGATTTATCAATTTTGAATATTTGGAAAGACGATTGAATAGTTATATAGGAATTTTCTTTTGATGTAATTGGACATGTTTTCGTGTTTGGTTATTATTCAAATGTGAACAGTTAATCAAAGTTTAACTTGTAATTACGTTCTTGGAACAGTGTTTGCGTCATTGTGATTTGTTGAGTGCAGTGGGCCACACAGGATAATATTTTTGTGTGCGTATTACAACCCTGTCACAGTCGTGATATCACGTGTAGGTTCTCATGGTCTGGGGCCGATTCTTATTTTGTTAGCATGGCGAACAATTTTGGTTTCATATAACAATACAGGACGCTTTGTATCCTCAGCCATTTGTTGTTTTTATATATCTCCATATACAAACAACATACAAACAACATACAAACTCCCGCTTTTATCAATATTCGAGCGATTTCACACTGGGCCTTCACAAATAGTACCCCATCTTTCCGAGGCAAGAGAGTTAACTGACTATAAAAGTCCAGTTTCCACCCTTGCCGAATTAGGCTGGAATTACTGGGCTCGATCGTAGCGCCACTAGTGGCTATTACCAGCTATGTCCCTTCTAAGCCTCTCCTTTGGACCAATCAGATTCCCCCTATCGTATCACTTGTGTTTGCTTCACACAAAATGGTGGCGCCCGGTCAGGACGATCTGATCGATAATCAAGATCTATATTGTGTTAAAACGGGTCTTACATCGCGAAATGCATCAAATCACGTGAGCACCTTGATTAAAAACATGAAAAGATTTGAAAAATATCTGCTGACAACGAGTTGGCGGTGCACATGCTTTGCAAATCCTGCAATCGACCGAAATCTGCACGACAGTTCACGAACCGGATTTCGATTTCGGTGCGCGATTCTGATTGGACTATGCATAGACTCGTTAGTCCAGCCACAATGTAACTCGATAATACTAGCCTAGTTCGGCAAGGGTGGAAACTGGACTTTTAAATTCAGTTAACTCTCTTGCCTCGGGAAGATGATAGTACCCCTTTGGGGCCGACGCTTTTACCACTAGGTTAATCCCCCGCCCCAAACTAAGTTACCAGCAGCTGAGCTACACTTTATACTTGTTGTTACCCTGGCTGGCGCTCGGCATTAAGGAGCTAAACATAGGACTGGTGGGCTCGGGGGCAGTATGGTCTGTCTGAGTGGGGTATTCATGTTAAACTGCGGCATGGTATATACAAAACCGGTATTTGTTCGTACAAGCAGCAACACACACACTTGCACGTTCCTCAAGTTTGTCCAAGTTCACAGACCCGCTTTCTACTAACTTGTCACTTCGAATCAATTTGCTCAATTGACTCAGGATTCTGTGTTGGCGGACAGAAGGAAAAAGTTGATATTCCGAATGTAAAACAGGCGAGATGTCGCCTAATTCTTTTTACAACACATCCAACGCATGCTGCAGTTACCGTATAAATGTTAGACAATATTCTCGGGAACATTGAAGAAACATAGGCCATTGCATGCCTGATAGCTAGTCGAACGGCGTCACAATTCCAATTAATCTGACCGTGTGGATTCTGGCTTGTCGTAAGAGGCGATTAACGGGATCGTGTGGTCAGGCTCGCTGACTTGGTTGATGCATGTCATCGGTTCCAATTACGTAGATCGATGCTCATGATGTCAATCACTGGATTGTCTGGTCGAGACTCGATTATTTACAGTTCGCCGTCATATAGCTGGAATATTGCTCAGTGTGGTATTAAACAACAAAGAAAGGAAGAAGTTTCTACGTGAGGCTTAGAGCTTGACCGTCGTTGGTAGACGTGCAGGTAGATCTGGCGTTATTTGGAATACAGTGGAAAGGCAGGTCTGTAATACCGTCTGCTAGGACAGTTTTGTTTACGCATCACTTCAGATGACCTTATTTGATAGACTAAGTGCTTTGTGGTGAGTGAGTGAGTTGGGTTTAACGCCGCTTTGAACAGCGTATCGGTTATGCCATGGCGTGTCAGCTTAATGTGGGAGGAAGGCCCGATGTCTACCGCTTTTGTGAAACTCACGACCTCGGGTATGGTACTGAAAAACCGAGAAACATTAATCACGTCGTATGTTTCTGGCGTGCCCAAGGGACGCAACTCTGAACAAATTACGGCGCCTTAGACGACTTGGCCACTCGTAGTTATTCTTAACGGTTTTATCCAAACTATAATGTTTTTCACTCTTTGTTCAGGAGAGGTCGGTGATTGGCGCAACTGGTTCACTCCCGAGGAAAGTCGAGAGTTCGACGAGAAACACAGAAGAAAGATGGCGTCGTGTAAGCTCAATGTTGATTTTATCCTGGACGCAGACTGACTCTTCACCAGGATTGGCAGCTTTCCAATCACAGTTAGAACGAATGGCTATCAAAAGTTGATGTCGAGACGTTAAACCACTCGGAGAGATGTTAACTCCAAGTCAGCCGTTGGCCAGCACTGGGGCCAATGCTCCATCTGTACAAGGAATCTCTCCTTGCAGCGGAGCTGTCTCGGACAGTATTGGGTGTGAACAGTGAAGATAGGCTCACACATGTAAAATCAACCTTTTCGTTATGGGCAGAACATTCCTTTCTAGTATAATACTATATTTCTTTGAGCTGTCTTGGGACAGTTTTTGATGTAAATGCTGAAGAAAGGTTCACAGGTACAGTTTTGGCCTTTTTATTATGTACACAGGTTTTTTTTCTTTCATTGTCAACATGTTATGGTAAGATTCTCTTTGTTAATGTGGGACATAACGATCAGGTTGCAAAGTCCATATTGGACCGATTCTGGGTGATGAAAAAATTGTGAATATTTTTTTGTAAAAAACGAAACAAGATCAGTTATTTTTACTGATTCATTTGTTGTAGTACATAATAATAAAATGTGTTCACCATCTGTCGCATGACCTATAATCACCAATTGATGTACTAAAATTGTGCTGCGTAATATTATTGTAATTATTTATTACTCGATTCGTCTTTCCTTGGCTCCATGAATCTGCATTTCAGAATTATATACACTCTTCATATTTATTGCTTGACAGATACAAGATTTACTCCCATTGAAGTTTTCTATTTTCTGTAATAAATCCTTCCATTACAATTGTGCTTTTTTTGTCGTTTTCTTGAGACTGAATGCGTATGAAAGGTACATTTCAGAGGCGGATCCTTTTGAAAACCAAATGTAGTATGTTGTAGGCAGTAAAATTATCTGAGAGGATTTTGATATTTTGGATCCCTCCCTTTTGTAAATGCTGGATCCGCCCTTGTATTTGAGACTCTCTTTCATGAGAGTTGTATGACGTTAAGTGTTAACTTGATGCTCTCCCCGTGAAGGTTGTCCCTGGAATTTATGCCAACGCAAGAGGCGACTAAAGGGATCGGGTGGTCAGCCTCTGTGACCTGGTTGCCGGCGTGCCATCGTACACCGTTGCTCACAATCACTGGATTGTCTGGTCCAGACTCGATTATTAACAGACCGCCGTCATATATAGTTGGAATATTCCCGAGTGCGGCGTTTAACAACAAACAAACAAATGATGTTCGAATGTAATAGACTGTTGGGCTGCGTAAAACGTTATTAGATCTACCCTTCACAAAGAGCGAGTGAATGTGAATTTGCCTGAGCGAGACTAGATTGTTTTAGAGGCCGCTGTAATATAGTGATGGAATATGCTGACTACGGCATGAACCAAGATTCACCCATTGTGAAACGGGGTTCTCACAGAATAAGCTTACCAGATCGGTACGGGTGTAACCTGTTAGGGGTTACACGGTTTAAGATGACACTTATGTTGTTGTCCGGGCATGCAATCAATCATTACTTTTTATAAATTAAAAATGTTATTTTACGTATAGCACACATTTATTACGGTTTTATATGTAGAACGTCTTCGACAAGAATATATAAGATAGGTCATAGACAGGTTCCCCTTTTTCAAAAAGACCGTAGCACCAAGGGGTGGTGGGATAGCCTAGTGGTTAGTTAAAGCGTTCGCTCGTCACGCCGAAGAACCGGGTTCGATTCCCCACATGAGCACAATGTGAAGCCCCGTCGTGAAATTGATGGAATACTAGCATTGCTAACACTGGCGTAAAACCCTAGTCACACACTCGTATCACTACGACTGTCAGAACCTCTAATACCTCAGTATACGACAACAATATGTAGAAAACAAATAGGGTGGGTATAGCTGGGTTCGAACCCCAGATTCGGCGCGATTGTGATTCTTGGTTTGTTAACACCATATCCGTGGTCGTGGGTTTCGCCGAAGTGTTAAACATCTAGACCTGCTTGGATCACTTCAGGCTTTCCTCCCACATTAAACAACCACGCTGAGATATAACTGAAATACCTCTAAAAGAGACGTAATCCCAGCTCGCCCACTCATTGTGAAGTATCGGAGGTTATACTACGTACTGTTGTTAGGAACAACGGTAGTTATTCAATAGCAGGTCACATTTATCACTGAAATGCTAAATTTACATTTTTCCCTGACGGGTCGTCAGATGTTAATGGGTCTTTGATGCCCACTTTCTCACTATTCCTGCCACTTCGCAGACAGCTGAGACTATAACATAGATGTAAGATCTAAAAACAGACTAAGCACACCTGACAGAGACCCGTGCCTGAATTAGGCCAATGAACTCCGGGACCCCCTTGAAAGTACACCGCACGGTGCTAAATATTTGATGAAACTAAAAAGTGCAATTGTTGCAAAATTTGACCCCATTTATAAATTAAAACGAAACACGACGCTGAATACATTCTCCAACATTTTTCATTCGTGCCATCAGGGAGAATGAAGGTACCAAGCTCCGCCCTTCATACAGTTTGGCCCTTACTCTATTTAGGTTCATACTCCAAGGAACTAACACAAAGTCAATTTTTAATTATTAGCAGTCAAACGGAAGAACGACAAAGACAATAAATGAAATGCCTTTGTATCCACCTATAATGCACAAAATCAAAAACTTTTCACAAAACCCAGGCAAATCCTAGCATGTTAGAACAGAATAAAAGAATGAAACACTGTTTTAACATTATAAACAGCAACGTCAAATTTCGAATTTCAAGAACATTTTAAGTTCTGTAAGTGCTTAGAAAGAGTGGACTGGGGTAACAAAGTGCAACAGCGGCGACTGGGGGACCTGTCACCACATGATGGAGGGTAGCTCAGTCACATTTAGAAACAACGGAATTTTCCATGTTCGATGTGATCTAACTTGTTCTGCCAGAAAAGCCCTTTTGTCATTACCTCCACGGGGTGCACAGAACAATATATTGGACAAACTGAATATTTAAGTCTACTGGATTGTTCACCCGAATTGAAATACTTTCACTCTACACTGTGTCCACCTGTCACTGCAACTATGAAGGTTGTGATCCTGCTACAACGAATTTATCTTACATACATGTTTTAATATGGCATTCTAAAAGAATTAAAACAAATTCAAAATTGATAGAAATCAGCTGTTCGATTAAGCTGAGATTAACTTGTGCTATAGCGAATACATGCTCAACAATTATCTTTCATAATACTTATTATTAAAGCTGGTACTATAGAATTAAAACAAATTCAAAATTGATAGAAATCAGCTGTTCGATTAAGCTGGGGTTAACTTGTGCTATGGCGAATACATGCTCAACAATTATCTTTCATAATACTTATTATTAAAGCTGGTACTATAGAATTAAAACAAATTCAAAATTGATAGAAATCAGCTGTTCGATTAAGCTGAGGTTAACTTCTGCTATGGCGAATACATGCTCAAGAAGTATCTTTCATAATACTTATTATTAAAGCTGGTACTATATAGCTGGTGTGAAAGAATTCCGGACCATGTTTTTTCTCAACATCGGCAATCGTTGTCGAGATATTGTTTAATTTTTTATACAGCAGATCCCACACATATGCTGCAGTTACCGTCTAAATGGCGTGACAGTGAAAGGCGTGACGATATTCTCGGGCACATTGAAGAAACATAGGCCATTGCCTGATTACAATTCCAATGTATCTGACCCATGAAGATTCGGGCTTGTCATAAGAGGTGACTATGCTTATAGGAGTCGACTAACGGGATCGTGTGGTCAGGCTCGCTGAGTTGGTTGATGCATGTCATCGTATCCCAATTGCATAGATCGATGCTCATGATGCCAATCACCGGATTGTCTGGTACAGACTCGGTAATTTACAGACCGCCGTCATATAGCTGGAATATTGCTGAGTGCAGCGTGAAACAAAAAACAAACCAATGTATCATTATACAACGGGTAATAATAACACACCTTGGCATTTCAGAAGTGGTATCGCCAATATTTGTAGCCCAAATTTTGTTCACGTGTCCATACATTTAAATTCACTCACTCTGTTAAACATAAACCTGCGATAGTCGTACAATGAGATCGCTTTGTTAAACGGGTTTCAATTAAGGGGCAGAATGGTAGCCTCGTGGTTCAAGCGTTCGCTCGTCACCCAGAAGTCCCGGGTTCAATTCACCATTCACCACCAGTAGTACCATGTATGTCAAAAACCCATGTCTGAGAAATGAACGAAGAAAGCATATCAATCATGCAGGCTCATGTCAGCTTTGTGATCAAAAGGCACTATCTTTTAAACGTTCTTCTAAAGTTCGATATATGTTGAGTCCTTAAGACTCCAGATCCATCATTGTTTGACACCGTCACTTCCTGGATATCACAAGAACAGTTAGTGGACAAGTCGTTGATCAGTGCAGCTGCACGTGCAAGTTAGTCGGGAATCAACTATACACATTCCATGATATATTCATTTTTACTTATTTCGCCAAAACATGCATATTTACTTCATTTTTGCGACATAAAAGTATGTGGATTGTTTGGGGTGAAAAATAATAGCCGTTATTCGCTTCATATCAACGTCAACCGCTTTGAAATATATCGATTTGTCTCTTGAAACAGTCAGGTATGAAATCAGAATGGAAGAAGTTCTTGTGAAAGGGTGACATTCTTTCTCGCACAGTTCGACAGTTTCCATAAAAAAAATCGAAATTAATTTCTATATTTAGCACATGAGCTGAAAAAAACACGAAAATATATAAATTTCAAGCGCTTCCGAGGCATTTGATTGGCAAAATAAGCAATATTTTATCCGTTTGGTTCCATAAACAGAAAGGAATTTAAGGCCGCGCCCACTTAGAAACTACGAGCTCATAATAGAATGCAATATGTGGGCTGAACTGTCATTGGTTTCGTACTGTTGTCTACAGTTTTGTGTGTGTTGAGAATTAAATAAGAAGTCTGTGAAGTAATTATTGTTGACTATATTTATTTATAAGAACTGACTTCAATACTTTACGTAAATCCGCTACGCCTATTTACATTGTCTGCACACCGATTTGTACGTTTTTTCTCCATAAACTAAAAAATATTGAAGTCAATTCTAGACAAATCTCGTTTTTAAGCTCATGTGCCAACAGAGAGAGAGAGACTTACTCACACTATGTAACATGTCTTTGGGGCCCAAAGAAATGTATCACGACAACTGTTTTTTTTCTACTTAGAGGGCAAGTTCATACGAAAATAAAACGATTTTTCTTGTACTTTGTCATCATGAAAAGTATTTACTAAGTAGTTTCAGAGGCAAAACAATAAAAATATCGCAAGTATCTAATTTATTTTATTCATTAAATCGGTTCATATTTTTCACATTTACCGAGAATTCTATTTCCATAATAAACACACCATGGCTTATGACCCTTACAATATGACGTCATTGGTGCCGATAGATAAAGGAATGACATCATAAGACTTTATTAGACCCGTTTCACGTGGTGTAGGTACAGGCGTGTGATTCTATCTTCTCAGATGCACAGCCTATTGTTCTGTTCGGTGCCGTGCGGTTCAAAATACAACATTAAGCACGCTTAAATTATTTCGTTTTCCAAAATCGCGACTGAGAAGACATCAATGCATGGATAACGAACTGTAAGATTCGCTGTGATGGTTGGAAGGGTCCGTTGTCTGAATTGCGCTTCTTCGTTCATTTGTGTTGGGCATATTGACGCTTGCTGAGTTGCTGTCGTCTTCCGTGAGAGTTTATACCTGCTGG